GTTACGCATTTCATCAAAGCTGCGGATTACATCTCCCTACAACCCTCAAAATTATCTCTGTAAATGACGCGCATGGTTAGGAAACATTTATCCACAGATTGACGATATCTTTGATCTGGTGGGTATCCGTGAGATTTAAGATTACGAAAAACTAGTCCTGAACTGAACGATGTTGGAAGCCACAGTATTGAAGCGTGCTGGGGAGTCGTAGGATCGGACACTGTGTGCGTTATACTGGCAGGGTTTTTCACTTACTTCCAAAGCACAATATCTCGCAGGTGTGAGGGAGAATCTGCTTCTTTTTGTTTCATCACCATAGTTGATGAAAGCTTAAATGGACGTTTGTGTTTGAATGGTTTATTCCAAACAGCAGATGTGTGAATACGATCAAGGCGGATTTTGGATCCACACATAAGTGTCTGAAATGCTTGTTCCGTCAACCAAGCGAAAAAAGTAAAACAAAGAAGGATGGTGACAAATAGAAAACAGTGCATCACTTGGCTTTACGCCACCGAACAATTCAAGTTCGGCGGTATAAACAAGAACTCAAGCGATCTAACTGAAACAAAGGAACCGTGTGTGATCTAAAGGTGACAGTCTAATTAGCCATATGTTATAAGCATAGCATACCATTCTGTTCATTTAAGGGTGTCTGGTGAAGTGTTGTGCTATTTTCCCGGCCTTAAATTCGATGAAATTTCAAAAGTTGAATTTGGATTATTTGTAAAAAGAAGGCACCGTATTTGTGGTCGACAACAGTTCTAAATGGCCTAGATATATTGCTTAATTCTGAACACACTTACACGTGGTAGGTAACGTGTTGGTACAAGTGATTATGCCCTTTGTGAGTTGGATGTCTCTCTTTTCCCACTCAAGAGCTTTAAATTAAAGCCAGTTATATTAACGTTAGGAGGTCAAGTTTTGCAATTAAACGTCTGTTAGAAATGTGACGCCGGTACTCATAGAGTTGCTTGGCATTTGGTTTTGTAACGTCCGTCACGGCAGCGACCAACGTAACTCAGGAAAACCAAAAACCGTTGAATCGTTTTAAAAAATCTTGAACGCCTCAGCTTGGAATTCGTTAGTCCTCACAATCATCGTCATTATCAACACTGACAACACCAAACATCAATGCTTTTCTGCCATAACACCATGTCAATTTAATAAAAGGAAGCCTCATAATGTAAGAAAGGGAAGTGAGACCGGTATGGAGACTTAGAGTTGGGCCGCCACAAAAATCAGAGCTGGCCACACCAACAATCAGCCAGACAATCTGCGTAGAAGCTGACAACAAGAACGCCACTGTCGTCAGCTAGCATCCATATCGTCCAGTGTCTCTTGCCGATCATGGACAGGAACACTATCCCTAATTTCGAACAGCACCCAAACGTTTCGTAACATCCCTCATTCTCTTTCGAATGTCAATTCCTGTTTACCTCTAAATTTCCGCCACTCCGAACTGGATACGGAAAACAGCTCTTGTCCCAGCAAGCGGCATTTTTACCACATGGTGCAGCCATCTTAGCTTGTGGTGATGGATACACTCTACGAATTAGTTCATGTTTCTCCATATATACGTTTTACATTTATCTCAGTATGAATTTGTGGATTAGACCAGATCTCAGATATGATCCCCCGACATCGCGATCAGAGACCTGAATTTGTCTGAGATATTCCATTCGAAGTCCACAGTCATACAACAATACAACCCACTCCAGTACTATGCACGCGTCCTTAAAGACATAGCGGTATACCGTTAATCCCAATGGTACACTTTTAATTACTTAGTCCAACATCAATTAAATATTTGTCTACCAGGATTAGAAGGGTGCATTAGGATTTATCAGTAATGTTGAGTACAGCCTTGCTGGACACCTCTATTAAAATGGGTATTGAGTAAATGGATAGTAATGTTGTGCAAAAGCTTACTCAATTACAGACCGTTTAACCGAGAAACATTGCTCAGTGACAGATATTGTGTTGCGTTTGTGGAAGCATCAAATTCGTACGCCGCACACCAGATTATTGTGCAACCTTAACCTTTCTATATCCTCTTTGGGCGGTACATTGTCAATTTGTGGAGCGTACGGTTTTAGCTTCCACACCGGGTTAGAAAGTCACAGAAAAGGTTTCGTATACCCATGACTTCTACTCGATTTCGAAACTGGTGGGCAACTAAATTACTGAGGTCGATTACAAGTTACCCCCCTACATCTTTGTCGACGAAGTTATTCTCAAGGGTAAATTCTGTTACTGACACTTTTGTTGGACTAAATATTCACCATTGACACAAATGAGCATGTATTAAAAATGGTCACTTAAGAGCTGTCTTATTCTAGTTTGTTACCATTCAAGTCATGAAAATAAACGGGTAATCTGTTTGAATAAAATCCTTCGAGTGCACAATGCTTGATTCACTACGCTTTCGTGTTTTCTTCAGGGATATTACAGCAGTCTGCACACTTCTTAGTTAACCATGTTTTTTAAATGGCAGTTTAATGACGTCGTTGAGTGCACAGAAGTAGCCGATACTTGTCGTTCAAAATAAAGCAAGTCAATAGATGATTGGATTTTGCTTTACAGTTAGAACACTCATTTACATATTGTGTTACCCACGTAAGTAGCCTTAGTGTAGGATTCCACTCTTGATAAAAACCCATGTTGATCTGTTTTTCCGCATATCTTTTGAAACTATTACGATTTTTTCGATGATAATTATGATTTTGTTCATCGTCACACCACTCTCGTTTGAACGGTCGTCTTCTTGTTCTGGCATGGTTAGTTCGGTGAGTCCACACCGAAAGAAAGCACTGGACTCGAGTTTCGCTCTTATTAGATCTCATCAGCAATGGATATCCAGTGGCCGTGACGGGTCAATTGATCGGCACAACCAAGACAGTTGGTGGGTCGTCGTTCGACGGGTCGGGCACACCAGTCACACATACAAGCGTGAACACGTTCGCCTGTTCCGACGCGTCTGACGCGTCTAACGTGCGTTGGTGGAGTAGTGGTTGCACATTCGCCTCACATGTCAGAGGTCCGGGGTCCAAATCTCGGCACAACCATTGGTTATGCACTGCTGATGAACTCTAATAAGAGCGAAACTCGAGTTCAGTGCTTCGGTGTGGACTCACCGGAATAATTACGCCAGAACAAGAAGACAACAGTTCAAACGAGAGTTTGTGCCTAGGAACAAAATACCTATCCCTCAAAACCCCAAAAGTATGATTTCACCAAAAGCTTACAGTCTGAGGCGACAAGTTTTTAGGTAAAATATTTGACAGTTTACGAACAGTAAGTAAGTGAGCCAGAAACTGGTTACAAGGGTCGCATCCGTTATCGTGTTTGCACTAGCCGGTGGAAGGAAATGTGATTCAGGGGTAGCTGCATGAAATTTTTAACTATATAACTAACTACTAAAAAGCAAGTCAATCCTAAGAATCGATTCTGCACACAGAGTCTTGAATTTTCACGAGAAACACCATTGTAGCCGGAAAACAGGTCTACTGTCTTCGAGCAATACACTCATTTGCAAATCAATTTGTTTTCTACGAGAGACTCAGCTGAATCTCCCGTTTATGATATTCTACAACTGAATGCGCTGCACGTAGGCCGACTCATGATTCAGTTGGCACGATATTCGAGATATCGCGGTGTATCTTCATAAAGGACACTACTCACAAGGTTGCTGAAAACTCCTCGACAGCCCACGACCAGTTTCGCCCTTCTTGGAGCTCATCAGGCAGGCGCAGTCCCCGAGCTTTCGTCAACCTTATGTTCTACTTGAACCCAAATTGGACCGTTTTTGAGAAATACACTCATTTGCAAATCAATTTGGTTTTCACGAGAGACTTAGCTGAATCTCTCGTTTATGATATTCTGCAACTGAATGTGCTGCACACAGGCCGCCTCATGATTCAGTTGGTCGTGGGCTGCCGAAGAGTTTTCAGCAACCTTGGGAGTAGTTTCCTTTAGGTCTTGTTATTCAGGCTCACAAAATGCGTATAAAAAACAAGAGATTCAGTTAAGTCTCTTGTCATTACAAGTTCAACCTGCAGTTGGGTGTATCTCATCACCTGCTTACTAAGCGGGGCATGAATTTTATGGAAACTTAGGGTATACACCTAGCTGCTCGGCCTAAAGCAGGGCGAACTCGGAAGTTGGCTGCAGGGAAATATCAGAACACTTCGTTTTATCTAATACAGTGTCAAATACAATATGAGAAAGTCTCTTCGGAGCATATTTAGTTAAATAGTATCATAAACGAGAGGTGCGGGGAAGGCGAGTTTAGTTTTCACCGGCCTACGGCATCTTGCGCGGTGATGTGACGTCAGTTTCTCTCAGTTATACATCGTATAATACTATTTTGGATCAGAACCGTGATGTTTCCTTTCAGAGGACTTACATCAGTCGAATCTGGTGGGAACTTCAGGTTAGCAATGTTGAGTTATGCCAGATGGTCTTGGGAAGAAGAAACTCTTCTACAATGGACGTGCTGCTCACTCTACTTAGGTTTCGCTGGTCGGAACATTTACCTCGTATATTTGAAGACTGTTTTACAGAGCTGTTTTTGAATGGCGCTAAGCAGAGGCAGCCGAGATGCACGCGATCTGTGACCTAGAAAGTGTGAATACACTGAGTGACAAACTCAAACCTTCCGGGACAAAGACTCAGCCTAATAATGGTTGTTGGCACTAGCGGGCATGGTAATTTGATGAACTCTGATGTACAAGTGGAACCCGAATCTCAACATCCTTGAGCTTCCATTTTCCCAAAGAATGCATACATAACTGTGGATTTCCTAATCATTTCAGAAATCATTCCAGTTCTATGCGGTTATTGTCGGACAAATTGAAGTTTAAGAATTATGGATTGATCGCCAGTTTTTCATTTGAATTTCGTGTGTAGAGGGCGCTTTCAAAGTTCGGTAACCATAACTGTTTATCACCCCAGATAGTTTGTCATCGAACCTTGTAGGAAAATTAGCAAGAGCAAAGAACATGTCCGGAAGCCTCTCGGCAAACTCAAGTAGTGAATTTGAAGAAGAGCTGGTATCGGATGATCTGTTCCTCAGTTATTTCAACGCCTTTCTCCGTTTGCCGGTAAGTGTATTCACCCTCATAATAAACCAGTGTTTGGAAGATTTTCAGTCAAAAACTGTGTTATGAGCGCCTTTCAGGAGCATTTCAGCCAGTCCAGACTACTGAAATGCAGACTCCGGAATATGGACTTAGCGACCGGGAGCGAGAAAGTATTATTAAGTGGGCAAAGTCTGAGAGATACGTTTCGTTCAAAAGGTTAGTCGTTTTGAGCACACCTACTTGTATTGATGTAGGAGTGACTATTATAGAGAGCTCAAATTGTGCAGGCTCCTTCGCTGCCCAACGGAATTTATTCCTGGAGGAAAGGAGCTGCTTGCCCCCAAAGTGTTCGGAGATTTGTTCCACTCGGGTAACACTAGTGCGATCAGAGGGCTCGCTGGAGTCAGCCGCCAGTCGTCGTTTGCCCATGATACGGAGTCGATGGAAGAGTGCAGTGAGATGACGGAGGAGTCAGATTTAACGGTGGGTTCGGTTGAATGCTCATCAGCCGCATGTTTTCGGTTTTGGTTCCAATCAGTAAATCTGTTCTTTGATCACGACACAAACCCTCTTTTCGTACAAATCACCTCTAGGGAGGCTCGGAAGTTTCACGCGGAACCCCTTCTGAGCAACAGCAGTCCTTTGATGATCTTTGGAGTGAGTCTGTCTATCAATTTTCCAAAATGAGTCTATTTCTAGGTTCGAAATAACACAGAAAAAGGCTACAAAATGTTTATAATAGAAACTCTAAGAATAATCTAGCCTAATAACTGGATTCATTGCCACTATTCTGTGAAGGCTTTTGAGTTGCGAAATTTCACTAGCGCTTTTTTTCACGCAGCATAAACAACCAGCTGACCTGCGGTTTATGAACGAAACGGTTTCATACACCTGTGTCCTGGAAACCAGGTCGTTAGTGTTTTCTACTTTAGACTTTATTCTGAACTATTCACCATGTCCGAAAGTGAATTAAAAATATTCACCCGAGGTCCTTGTTTCCTGTCATCTTGCTTAGCTTAGAAGGAGGATATTTTTGCTGAGGGATAAGTGATTCCTCAGTTACCCATCAGAATAGTCGCGCCGCTTTCATCGAATGAACGTAACAAACGGTGGAAGCTGACGTCAGCTACAAAGTGGCTGCTCACAAACGTACCGTGGCCTTTTTAAAACGAGCAAAACTCAATCCATTTTGTTTCACTTAGTGATTGAGATGAGAACAGCATCTCACCAAGAGCTTAATCATTCGTAATTTGGCATCGCGTTTATCGGGGTTATGATAAAAAGGTAAGCGGTTCGTGTTCGCTAAATGGAAAATCTCACTGGTTTGGAAGACTCACAATGAGAGAAAACATCTCCAAAGTTTGTTCTTTTTCAGATTCTTTTAAATTCTTATGAAGAGAAAGTACTTTGGTGACAATTCTAGGAGTATTTCAAATGGCTTCTGTAAACTTATTAAAATGGATTTAACAAGCCTTCTGAGATAGCGTCGTTGATACTAAGATTTAAAAATTAGCTTTGTGATGTATGACAAAGCGTCCGTCATGTTGGGGATTTCAATATCCCCAAAAGCTCTGCATCGTTGTGGGTGCGAACGAACTTCCGGCGTTTTCAGGGTCGAACCATATATATATATATAAATATAAATTATATATATATATATATATATATATATATATANATATATATATATATATATAAATGCTTTGTCATTTTTCCGCCCTTGTTTGTTAACAGCTTGTTGTTCAGAGCATTGCAACTGTGCCCAAGGCTTTGTCTTCTCATTATTCAGCTGTACAAGGAGTCAAGATCAGACAACATAGCCGGGAATAACATATCATCACATTCCGCGCATATTATCGTTACTCGCCGCGTGATCAAAACCGTAAGACGTCAGTATCCCGCTTGATGGTTGCCTTGATACATTCAGATGCACCTCGCAAGCCTCATGTTTGCAGGTACTAGGACTGATCCCACAGAATACAGGGGGACAGAATCACTTTATTTAACTGGCAACAGTCACCAAGCCTTACTAAGTGCAGACCGCAGTAAACGAGGATTTCCGAAACACTATTACCTATTCTTACTTTTCTAGTATAGCACTTGCAGCATCGCTAGGTGGTTTTCGTGACTGTTGTGTTGCAACGCCATACGAACTTATGGTGTTAACAAGAGACTGCCTAGGCATCCACTCGTGCATAACGGACTTAGGTCTGACGATGTTGAAGACCGTCTTCTGATGCCCCTTTTTCACAGCGGGGCAAAAGTCCAGTTATAGCCCGATAGGTGGCCGCCTTGGAACATACGCGGCCTTACTGAAAGTCTATCAAATATCTGGTGATTATAAATTGTTTCTTTGTGATATTTTCTTCAGGAATAGTCAGAGCTGGGCTAGTTATGAGTAAAGCGGATCATATTACTGTCAGATGTCGCTGTTGCGAAACGGTCTCCAAAAAACGCCCCAAAAGTGCCGCTTTATGTCATTATCTTTAGGATTGTGTTGACCATGTGTGCCACCCCTAGCTACAAGGAGCTCAACAGCTCACAAGTGGAACAGGTTGACTTGAACTATCCCGTAGACTTCTCTCAAAAGAGGGATATCCAGGAAATCAATTACTAAGATTAAAAGCAAGGTTTTGGGATGACACCTTTTGACACCATTTAATATTTTTTCATATCCGTAAGTTGTAAACTTACCCGAATGGTCAGCCGCTCCACAACATAATTGCGCAGCATGAGATAATTTATTCTCATGCAAACGTTTACATAGCTGATAGAAATTCTCGAATAGCCTTCTACCGGTTCCGTCCTTTTTGTGGTTCAGCTAGGCTTTGCATCTGAACTTTCAGTTGTACGATTCCTGTCTGAACGAAAGTTAGGTCTGCGTGCGTAGGATCAACTGTGGCTTATTCAGTGTAGCTTGGAGATTATGAGTATTTCAATATACCCGATGATGTCGGTGTATCAGTCGCAATTTTTCGAATCACACTTTCTTATTCGGATCACTATTGACCACAGAATACAACCTTAGCGGACCTCAGATGTTGTACCTAGAAACAGGGAGCCGCCGTACTCATCTTAGCTTATTTTTTGGGAGGTTTTAAAGCTTCCGGTGGTTTTTTATATCAGTGGACTTCGTGTGGTTAGTTTAAAGCTGCGTTGTCCATCTAAGTGTGTATGCTGTGGGCTACACAGTCATTTGAGTATAATATGTTTGCAGGATGTGAATTTTCGACCATGTTGTTGCTGTCGGGGTTGGTGTTTTCAGGTTGAAAATGTGACGTGTCTTCCGTCTCGGATTATTACAATGTTTAAAGTATGCTTTCCACTGTCAGACATCTCACTGTTACATTTATGCAAAGATACAACACGGTGATATAGTGTACCGAGGCAATTAAGACGATATTGTAAACACATGCAGTGAAAGGCGTGGCTAACTTCCAGATCCCAAATTTCCTCGAAGGATGAACATAAACAAGCTTTTGAGTTCCCTGATAGTATCATTTTGATGCTGTCTCAATCACTTCATTCTGAATTCGTCTAGTTCAGGAAGATAAAGGACGCAAGCGGGACCATACCTATGGCAAGTATTTCAAAATCAGGTAAGTCGAAGTGCCACTTCCAACCCGTTAGACTGTAGATGCAACACTTGTTTCGGCCTGTGAATCAGTAAATCAGTAGGGAATCATTGATTCTGTAGTTTATCGAAAAGCTATGCATTTAAGAGCGCAATCAATCTAATAAATAATTTGATAGAAACTGCACCACAACACCGCACTGCTGGTTGACCCAAAAGTAAGTTAATGGAGATATTTCTCTGGAGCGAACGAAATATGGCAGGACCCTCTGAAAAGAACCATCTTAGAGTCACCTATTGACCGCTCCCTCACGTCTTCATCCGACAACTCAAATGATGTTGACACGGCTAAAACAGCCAGAGAACAAAAGTTTCAAGGTATATAGCTATCTCGCATGCATTGTTACCTTGCTGTTGTGGATGTATATACATATGCAAATATACATATGTATATATGCATATAGGGGAGAAAAAAATCACCGGTAAAGATTCCTATTAGCCGTTCTGGAAAACTCGCTCCAGCATTGGCGCGGGCGACAGACTCATAGAATACGTTAACCGTGCTGCTGAATTCCGCTATTTCTCATCCGGACAAGTGATGAAGAGTAGGTGTTTCTATTCACTTACCATTCTTCGTATTAATAAACAAAAAACAAAACAACAAAAGGCGAGAACCTAACAAACCGTAGGGTTTATTAACTCTTCCAAGACCAATGAACAGAACGAGAGAAGAGAGTCAACATGGGACACTTTGAAACATTTATGCTTCTGTAGTGCACGTTTTTTGCAATCGTTCAAGGCAGATGAACTCGGAGTACGTGAATAGGATGTAATATTTGATGCTGCTTTGGACACTCCTTTACTGACTGTAGTTTGGCCTGGGGTATTTTCTTGCAAAAATTCAGAAAGGTTATTAAAGAAGGCCAAGATAATGCTCATGAGCCACAAACTGCATTCAGCAGCATGCAGTGAAGTTTGAGACCAGTGAACAGCATGTGCATTTAGTCTGTGATTTCAGGGTAACGGGTCATATATGCATTGCCCCGTTTGACTGTTACATCGAGAAAACGGTACTGAAACACGAAGATACGCACACATACATACACATTATTTTCAATATAATTTGAACTTTGTGCCACCTTATTTTACGAGGTGTTCCATTCCGATTGCACCCCAGAGTATAAAGTTAAATAAAACCCGAAGGTAGAAGGCCAAATTGTACTACTTTCAGAATTAGGAACTCACTGAAGTACTTCAGTCCCAAGTGATCTAATGGGGTAGAACTTTCCAAAAGCTTTCTTGGGCCTAGATGCTTGATAGTTTTACGAACGAAACCAGACGCTGTGACCTTTTGTAATAAATAATTCATCGGGAAAAACGTTTTGGTTGTGGTATATGGAATTTTTTCTTGGTGGTTTATACCAAAGTAAGGAGGCAATGAACTCGAATTTCGCTCTTATGAGAGCTCTTAGTTGATGCCTATCCATGTCGGAATTTGACTGATGAGCACGTGACTTGGCTTAGAAAGCGCTACGGAAAACCCACGGGCTGACGTTTGGCATCGTTTAGAGGACGTTGATGTTAATGCAAACTCAAAAACCGCTCAACCACCTGAGATCGACGTTGAATTCTTCACTCACCCGACACAGAAGGAATTCAGGCAGCCATACATTGCGCACAACGAGACCGCTTGGTACCTGTTACAGGTTTCACATAATTTCGGCGCGTCAGGTTAGGTACATTTTTAGTGCTAAGCAGGGGTTCCTTACTCAGTGATCCAACTTTTCTACCTGCTAGAATGTATTTTATGATTGGAGGCTTTTCACAGTATGGAGTCTCATCAGAGTCCACAAGAATTTGGAGGCAACGACGTACCCAATATCCTTGAAGGTAACTGGGTGCTAATATTTATTGTGTAGGGAACCAAACCGCGGAGGACACTTTTTGGCATGAGCTTGGTACAAACAGGTTAATTTGTCTTTGTGTCTATGGGTCACTTCCTCCTAGAGGTTGAATTTTTGGTTGATTTCGGTTCTGAAGGCACTTGGGTGGTAGACTGTTTTGGATTAAGTTTAACCAAATGGAAAAGAAAAGCGATAGATGCCTCATTTTCGGATGGAAACTTAACGAGTCGGCAAGTCCGTTTTGGACATTATTTATCATTTTCAAGGTAAAAATGTATAGAAGTGTGTTATAGTGATATGAGTATTCCGAATGTTTTGCCCTATATAGACGCCAGACAGTCCCCGGTTCCCCAGAACAGTTTTCTCCTGTACTGGAATCCAGACTCAGTGGCAAAGCAAACAACATCCCTGAGTACGTTGCAAGCGCTGGAAGCGTGGGAAAAAGCCGCAGGATGTCAGACCCAGTTCTTGTTCAGCGCGGTACATCCAGTGAAAAACATCGTCGCTCCCCTGAGAATCCACAAACGGATGACTCAAATCATTTCAAACGAGCAGAATGTTGGGTTCAACGAAAGGAGGCTGAGAAGAGTACTAGCGACTCTTTTGTCACTGCAACGGAAAGCGAACTGGTTCAACAGCTTGAGAGCTTCCAGAAGCGGCAACATATACCATTCCAGCGGCTTAAGGAATTACTTTTATCAAGTGTACGTAAAACTATACAACGAACCAGTTTTACTTTCCAATCCCTGTATGAGCAATTAGAGCAACCGGCTGTTGAGCAGTCGCTACATTTCAGGTAGAACTATGTACTTGGTTATCTATACAGTGTTTTTGCTGTATAGAGATCGCACCCAAAATAACTGTCTATGGTGTGCATAGAAGGGTATCAAGACTTCCGCAGTGGTTGAGTAAAGTAGGGATGGGCAGTACGGCAAGCTATGAACCAAATGTATCCCAACTCAAGCTTTTCGCATTTAATCAATGTGGATAAGTATCTGCTACTAATAAGCGGGAAACATTTTTCTCTATCATCATCATCATCATCATCATCATCATCATCATCATCATCATCATCATCATCATCATCATCATCATCATCATCAACATCATCATCATCATTGTCAGCTGTAAGAACCGCGTACTCGTCGTACAGTGGTTGTAGCTGCCGCAGTTTCGTTCACCGATGATGTATTTATTAGAATATTTCATCCGGAAATCAAGTTGTTGTGAGTAATTTAGGAGTCCAAACTTGAGATATGTGTGCAGCAAAGTCCACATGTAGCTGGTTTCATATCTCTCTGCAAAGTGGTTTTGTTTCAGGCCTTAAGGGAATCGAGACAAAGGGTTGATTCAAATGATGCAGGTTTCTCCTAACTAGACTAACAAACTGGAGAAGGCGGAGTTGGGCCTTCAAGTGCACTGTGAATGAGTGAAAACACCGGCAATTTCTGTCACACAAAGCCAATAGTTAGGTAGTGAGACGAAGTAATTTCTCCAGTAATATATTTGGCATTCCTGAGTGGGCATGACAGCCTACTAAGGGATACTTGCGCAGCCTTCACTGGTGAGCAAACGTTTAGCCGCCACACTGCACTGCACTTTGTGGCCACAGATCACTGAGGCCAGCTGGTAGCGATTTGATCTAATCTTGTTGTTTTCGGTCAGAATTTACAAGCTCATATACGGCGCCCAAACTGATGTACAGACAGATGTAACCGGATGTTATCGTAGTGTAATCTACCGGAAACACCTATGTCGTCGTCATGAAAAAATGGCAGCAGCTTTGGATTATGAACACATGCATTTAATGCTGTACAATGGTGTTATGTTTTAGGTAGAACCTGCCTTCAAGCATTAAATCAGATGATCGAAATAGGGCCTTTATTAGCTATCTGGCCGAAATCCGTAAGATTGCGACCTTCGGCAATATTTTCGACTATTTTTATCCACGAAGAGACTGGACCTTGAAGCGTCGTGACGGTTTGTGCAACTCCATAATGTACAAGCTATAATGCGGAGTGTATATGCGTCATTCACACGGCCTGTCGTACCAAGCTAATCAGTAGTGATCTGACTAACACAGTCTGCTGGTCCTCCAGGTCGGGGGTTGGAGAGTATAGGGCGAATTTCTTCTTAAACATTAGGCTGCTCTGACGGCCTTACACCAATCACTGCTGCTTTGCAGTTAGACTTTTGAGCCAGAAGCCTTAGTTCAGTACCATAATCGTCTAGGTCTGGGTTATCCCGGCAGCAACTTGCCATATGTACAAACAAGCATAGCAGAGTCACAAGTGGTCTCATAGGCTGTCACGCGGCTTCGTTGGCTGGGGCGCCCCACTTGGTGCATACAAGTGGCTGGTATGCGAAAACATGCTACTGCCGACGCCTCCCTTCTTTCTGTCTCATATACTCGATCGTCCCCTGTCACCATCGTTTCGAGTGCTATTTCAACCACCCATTTATAAGAACTGGCAGACTTACTCAACTGCCATTATGATTAACCATGTAAACTCCCGTTTACTCTACCAACACGGTTTTAGGCACTTCGAAATTACTCTTCGAACCTGGATGCCCAATTATTCTGGCAGTCTGCAGCGTTCGACCGTGAAACAAGTCAGACAGTAGTCTGCCGTTGCATGTGCTCTGAACTCGCATCCATTGATATGTGCTGCCTGTCTGAAACTAGAATTCAAGTCATGTGTACGTTTAATGAACTCAGCTTACTTTCACGCCCGGTTTCCACCATCTGGTGCTGCGGCTTGTTCTATTGGGGTTGACACTGTTTTAGGTTAATGAGTCATACAGTTTCTTTTTAAATGGTTGTCCGGTAAAAGTAGCTTCTGTGCGATTTGTGTGACAGTCTCTGGGCTTCTGGTGTGAGAAAACCGTAAACACCTGCTGAAGTCCCTTTTGGAAACACATCTTTTGAAGCTGACTGTTGCTAGAAAACAATGACAGCTGCCGTGCAGGATGCTGGGCGCTCCGCCTTTGGGACGACGCAGGAAATGGACCTCCCGCAACAGAGTATAGTTGTTCGAAGCCGGTAGACAGTAAAAAAAAACAGCGAACTGTTATACTGCAGGTCAGAAATAGCACTTACGAGGATCAAGAATCTCGGTGGTCTAGTAATCTGAGGAGGTGGAGAGGGCGAAAAGCTGGAGGGACGTGTATACGTGATTTCATTTTACACACTCAACAGAAAACAGGTACTGATAAAAAGGCCCGCTTGGCTTTTAAAAGGAAGAAATACCTTAGCTCTTCAGCTGAACACCTTCATGAACAATTCAACTAGTGACCTGCAGTTACTTAGCTGGTATCCCGACCAACAATTCAGCCCTGTACAGTGAACTCATAACCCCCGACGCCCTTGGAAATAAACGAAGTTCTTTTCTTCCTCAAGCGTCACTGAGCCGCTGGTCCTGGTTAGTCTTGGCCTGCTCTGCCTAAAGATGGAAATTAGTGCTTAGTCGGTGTTTGTCTAACTTGTTTGCCTCCGTATGTGGAAAACCAGACTGCCTATCTAAATGGAGGTGAGTGGTCAGAGGTGTCCGCTTTGAAAACGAATGTTTGTCCCAGAAGTTCATGAATATCATTTGCTGTTCGCTAACATATACTTATGGGTTCGTGAGAACAAATAGGGACTTTAAGAAAGCTTTTCTATAAATACGTTCACTCTCTTCAATTGTTCCACTTCGCTTTTGATCAGGTGAACCTAGGAATATCTTTAAAAGCTAGGTGTTCAAGTCTGTCCGATTGAGAACTTTGTCAGTCTAGAATAAGTAGATGATAATTTTGTGATTTTTGAAAATGTGCTAGAAGTGAATTGACACTTGGAAATTTAATTGATACGGTTCAGTCCTTCACGCCCACAGAGTAGAAAGTCATGCTGCGGGACGTACAGTCTTTGAATATGCCCCCGAGAATTCAAGGAGTAATAATGAAAGTTAATGGAGGCTGTACGTATCTCAGAGGTTGCATCGGTTCGGACGGTAGAAGGTGAAAGTACAAACCTCAAGCACGAAAATTTCTTTCGCCAATTTAAGCCACTTGTGGCGTTGTTTCGGCTTGTCGGGTTAAAAGCGGGCATTCGCAGGTCTCTCAACCATGCGCCACAAGTAAAAATCACTACAATCCAGCCAGCTCACTCTGAACTGCTGCTTTCCGAGGTAATTTATAGCCTTCCTTCTTCAGACCATTGTGAATTCGTCCAGGAATTACGTTCAAAGTATTAGGACACCATAAACAGTGATTAGCATGGAATACGCCTATGAAAATCTCATGTGAGAATACGGTCTCTTCCTTCCCCAGATCTCTTACCTTTGCATCTATCTTGAACATTAACGCGTGTTCAAGAATCGTCCTATAAAGAAGTCGGTGGACTGTCGCATCATCCTGCTTGTCCAAGGAGTGCCAAAGCATTCCATGTGACTGACCAACTGAGCATGAGAACAGGCTCAAGACAGCCTCATTGACAGGCGGACAGTGAACCAACAGCGTAACTATATCGGACTCAGTTTTACCTGACCGCTTCCATGTCAATCGAAATTTTGAGTTTGGCCGTTGAATTCGACAGTCGGCATAGTGCCTAATCAATTTTGATTTCACACTACAATGGTACCGGTACCAAATGGATATATGCAGCCTTGACCTTGTTCCCTTTGAATAAACTCTGTTTACTAAATTGATATGCGCCGGAGGAGAAAGGGATACAGATTACCAATCAGCAGACAGAGCGCGGACTACTAACCAAAAGTACTTATTGGGTGCCATGCGTGTAACATGAAGAAGGCATCGACGAGAAACTCTCCGAATTCCATGCACTGTGTGGTCATACTAAACCACCGGTTTGAAATGCAGGTTAAGGTCACGTGCGTGAGAAAACCAACAGTAAAATTGAGACAATACGATAGATCAGAAACTTGGAATCATAGCAGTGACCGATGCCATTCAGTAGGTATGGAAATTTACGGCTAGATTTTCCTAGTGAATTCAGCCCCTCCGAAGAAAAGAAAAGCGGCAAAACAAAAATACTGTGCGAGCGCGCTGAACATTCTTCACTAACAAAAAATCACCTTTATAGAAAAGCACTCACGTTGCACACAGATTTTTAAGGAAACAAAGGAGAATCACTTTGTCAATTGCCATGAACCTTTTTTTACTCCGTTTCAGGTAATAAAATTGTGAAGTGACTCTGTTTCGCTCCCAGAATCAAGAGCGATTCTCCACTGTTGACCCACCTGAATGTGCAATCCACTGAATAGGTGTGCCTAACGGATTGACACTATTATCTTGAAAGGCATCGTCTCCGACAACGAGTCATTCCATGAAGATGCACGTGTCGGAAACAGGGGTCACCTAGATGCTCTTTAGATATTCATTCAAAAATACCGGATAGCAGCAGATCCTTATTACTCTGAGGCGAGCGTGTTTCACAGAAACTGCAGCGTTAATGGCACTGCACATTAAATCAGGTGAATAAATTCTATGGAAATTGGAAAACGGTAGGGGGTTCAAATGAATGTAAGCAGTCTGACCGTGGGTATTGTGCGTGCGTTTATTGTGCGAGAGTTGTATCAGACCGGATGTATCCCAGTTGAACATTTTTGGGTCATTGTACCGCTTAAAAACTGTTCCAGTAGCGACAAACACCAGATTGGACCACCACAGTCGGCTACGGCATGCACACACCACTGATCGTTATGAGCGGTGCAGAAAACTGATGATTCTGTCACGACTTGAGCACAGGCTCTGGCTTATAAAAAAACTCGCGAAAGAGCCTGTATTGGTTGGTCTAAGATTTCCATCCTTCAGCCTGTCGATCTACTTCTATATTCACATGGCCCCGTATTTCCGTTTGATGTATATAGTACAGGTTTGCGTCACTGCTGCCTATAGGCACAACAGAATTAGTCAAATTTCGGTTGCGTAAAACCGCATTGCTTGTTCTGTAATTCTTATATCCTATTGTGGTTGCAACCAGCGTATACCCATTACCTCACTTTTTCCAAAATATTTGAGCCAGACCACCCTTCAGGGCCCTTGCGTCTTTAGTTGGTGTTATTTTCATCTATTTTGGAAGAAGCAATTTTGAAACGGTACTTCATTTTATATTTTGCCTCTTCCATCCAGCTAAAATTGAGTCCGTTAAGGAAACCAGATTTGCAACAAATTTCAAGTTTCAGCCTTCAACCACGACAGTGAAGGCACTGTCACAAGAAAGTTTTTATTCCAGAAAACCTAAAGGCTGACTGTCTTCCAGAATATTTTCACTCTTCTTCACTTTTACTCATCTATGATTGTAGCGCGACGGAATGAGGGATTTCATTAGCTTCCTCGGGCCGACTAAAGGACTCAGTTTAGTTGACTTTTGGCTGGACTGCGAAGAAACTACAATGAGCGTTGCTCATTTGCAAATTTCGGAGCGTCTAAGAACAAAGTTTCAACTTTTACGGTGAGTATAAATTTGGTTAACAGATGGAATACTTTGTAAATGACGTTCGAAATAAAACAGTTTTGACTGCATCGCTTGGAATTTATAACTCACGTGCTTCTTACATAAGGTGATGGAATAGCGGCATGATAGGGTGTTCAACGAGGCAATCCAAAACTGAAAGAAAGGTGCATGAGACCAATAAGAATAATCGAATAATCGAAATGATTGATGGAGGCTCGTATACTGGGCCAGGTTAATGAGCCCCAAAAGATATTGGGATGTTGAAGGATTTTCGTCGGTATGGTAATTAGAATAATGTCAATGTGATGAGACTTCTCGGTTCGTGAGGATCTTGCCAATCACCGGAGAATTTTTAGGGCACATTCGTTTTGCTGATCATAGAGCCTGATATTATACAGCTCACTTAATGTGTGTAGTTAGTGGGAGCCACTTCAGTGAAACACACTTTCTGCAGAACTTATGGGTTGTAAGATTTGTGGTCGTGCGGGGCGAGCTAACGTTTGCAAACGGACATACGTCAAGATGCTCACTTGTCAGATCTCGACTAGGAAGAGCTTGTGGTGGATCTAGCCACTGTTCACTGAGACATGAAAGTAGATAACTGTAAATGATAGATATGAGCATTGCAGGGCACCAAGTCCTGATAGTAAATTGGTTTTAATTGCACACTTACAACATGGTTACCCCGTTTGTTTGGTACCAGGATTACCTTTAAAGCAAGCATTAAATGACGCAACACAAATGGCGACATTACGTAATAAAATGGTACACAATACCACAGTTAACGTGCTTGTGAAATCGGAATCAAAACGTTCATCACAAATATAACCAACTGAACTTCACAGACCTCACATAAAACACTGTTTGACGTCAAAACACATTTCTGCCAGAATACAAGAGTACCAAATAGCAGTTCACCTAGTCAATGTGATGAGACATTTGGCACAAATATGCCCGCCATTCAACTGGATTGTATAAAACTGCGGTCTTTTGAGGAAGGAGAAGAGGGTAGAATGAGAGGGAAATAATGTCATATCACAAGAACCTGGGATGAGACAAATCAACTGCTCGGTCAAATAATTGAAACAGAAGCTGGTAAAATTTGTTTCCGAGAATTGATCCCTGAAACCATCGATGCGATTGACCAAAATGACAGTTGATCGTTTGGAAGGGCAATTTTCGGTTGTTATTTCAGGCATCAACAGGGGTTTTGTCCCTCCATTCCAATACCATTCTCACATTGCGAACCCATTGCAAGCTAATCAAACGTGTGAAGGTTTAACCATAAATTTTCGAAGACAAAATTACTAAGCTGCAAACATTTCGTCAGTTCCAGTCCACCTACACAGGATTAATTTGTTTAAACACGCAGAATGCGTCCGGGAGACCACATAGAAAGGTCTGATAGATTATTAAATTTAAGTTTTATCATCTTGCCAGAAAATAGACTGCAGACTTGATGAAAAATTTAATGTTTCAGCACAAACTGGCGGTTGCTGCCGTTGACATTTGATGGGCCGGCAAATCATCATTTGATAATCTTTCAGGGTTGGCTGTTCAATGGACGATTGTGCATACGACACTTCTACTGAGACCAGAAGATCCCACTCACTGTTGCAATTTTTCCAGTGAAAGCAGTGCCCTTTTGTTACCGCTTAAGATCTGTCCGATTGGAGTCCTAAGTCACTCTCATACTGTAAACCACGTAGGGACTAAATCAAAAGACGGAAATCCGAAAATCACAAATGGAAGTTATTAAAGTGTTTATTTCACAAGTGAATGAAATTCCTGAGAAGCAGTGTAATCTTCTGCATATTTTAATTTCCCATCATTTTTCAGTTTCGACTGAACGGATATATCCATACCTACAACTTTAACAGACTGTTCTTTTATACTTTATTTCGCATTACAGAGAACTGGAAGACCGTTACATCCTGAGGCTCACTCCCAAGGTACGGCGCCATCTAGAGCTGGCGATCGACACTTTGTCAAATGAGATTGTGAAAAACTGTCAAAGCGATGAGGATCACCTGACACAGAGAATTGGGGAACTCATGTTTGAGCGTATCCAATACGATAGTTTGAGACGCCTGCGGTCGTATTGGCTTCCTAGCTGGATACTTCATTGGGAAAGTCGTTTGAAGCGCTGTCAGTTTCTTCCATCCGGTCATGGAGGATGCCAGTTATTTTATATCCCTCCGAAACGATTTAAAACTTCACGGAGTGAATTGCAAGAAGGAGGCTTCAACGATGCTTTAACCGGGTTTTCTGATGAAAATATAAACGGCCTACCCGATGAAAAAAAAGAAGAACAAGACTGGGACAAAGAGGTCTCTGAACAAATACTGGCAAAAGCACTTTCTGGAACGGGGCTCTTTGGTGTGAAAGAAAGTCGAAAAGTTTTGAGAGAATCGCGTACAAGCCGAGTCTATCTGACGGCTACATCAACGTTGGATTCAATCCCGGAATCCCGAGTTGGTGGATTACTGAGGGAATACACACCGAATATCTGTGATGTAGAAACCAAAAAAGAAGTATTCGATGAAATACACCTAGGTTCAGCTGTATCTTGGGAGTCAACTGAAGTATTCGGGTGTATGGATGTATCAAGCAATGCTAAGCAGAGACGAAAAAGTATATGTAGCTCTAGGAACAATCTTCCTGAGTCCGTGACACTTCAGACACCTTACAAGAAGCAAAACGTATCAAATCGAAAGTCAATCAGCGCTCAGGAATGGCGCGCATTCCGAATTCTTCTGATGGATTCCGCAGCTGGAGGCCCTTTGCAACTTTATTTGGAGCGGTTAGTAAAGGTTTTTGATAAAATGATCTCCGTCGTATAATGAAATACCAGGTGTGCGTAGTCGAACAGAGCCACTTGAGTCTCCAAAACTCACTTACCGCACACAGACAGCTTCGATGATGTGGGTTACCATTGCGATGTATCTTTTTCACATACGTTCGTTGCTATACCTAACGTCTCTATAGACGTGGGTGTCCAGTGTAAATAATCTAGTTTTCTCACCTCACCAATTCTCATTGTTTGTGCTACTTAGTTGGCAAATTTTATTTCTATTGATTTCAACAACTCTTTTATAAGTAGTTGAGCACCTGAAGCATAGCTGACACACTGGTAACTTGCGCCCCTTCCAAAATAACAAATAGCTCGAGCCAAGGTGCAAAAGTGGAACTGAAGATTTGCTTATAATTCACCAGACCCTTTTTGTTGAATTTATAACATATGCTGGGAATCCAGCATAACACGTTGAGTAGTTTTTTGTGTAGTGCTTTCCATTGTCTGAGGCAACCTTTATAGCAGCGGTCTCTTTTTATAACGAGCGACCCAAGATGGTTGCTGGATATCCAGAGCTAACAGTTAATATTTACATATGTAATCGCCCAGCTGTATGTTCGGGGTAAATCATCAGCATTCATATTCCCCAACATTCCAATCCCTGCCATGCTAACGGCGAGGAATTCGAAGCTGTCTACTCCACTGAGGTGATTTTGAAGAGGGAACAACTCAGTCAAAGAGATAATTTTGCAACTGCTTTTTTCAAATGGCTCACCCTTCTGAAGAAACAACCTCCCAAAACCGAAAGGGTAGATTTTCTGTATGTCGTTGAGGGGACACTATGAAGTTATTGCTCCAAATCACTTACCGATTTGAGTATGGCCTCAAAGATTCCGTAACTTTAGCACGGCCGATACCTAAGCCCATAACCTCAGCAAACTTTTTTGACTGGAGTGAATCGGCTTAGCAAGAACGTCGGATTTGGATGCATCCGTACGCTATTCGATGGGAGTTTAACAGTCAAAATCCAGACTGAAGATAACGCAACTAAAGGACAGGATGACAAAATGCACAATAACCAGATACTCATCAAGTTCCGGGTGGTCCCAGTTGACATTTTGGTTCATGATAAAAAGTATTAGCGGAGAATTTTTCGTCGTTAGCCAGTCAGTTAGTCAGTCAGTGAGTTAGTCATTCAGTCAATCATTTGGTCTGTCAGTCATTTTATCAGCTCTGGGTCAAGTACTAAGGGTTTGATTGTTTCGGCCTCTACATTGTTCCGTTTACCGGAGAATAGGGTGGTTGGGTGATACAGCTCGGCAGCTGAACGATTCAGTCAGTTTGTTCTTTTCAACTTGTTTTGGTTACTTGTACGAACGCATATTGCGCATTGAAGATGAAATTTTTAATGCAGGAGCGCCACAAACTGTATGACTGGTCCATGACTACTTGTGGCATTAACCACTGGTCAGTTGAGTCTCCATCCAAGGTGAGGGCGATACTCAATTTGATTCAATTTACTGGTTAGTGATTTGATCCTTTGCTCGGTAATCGGCCGCTTGTCCTTCGGTTGCCTCCACTTTGCACAGGACTAACCAAATTATTTCTGCGCGGTAGACGGACAATAGCCCGCAAAATGGTTAAAACCCGAGAGTTTTCGTACATCTCTTATATGTGGAGACAACTTTTCTTAGCTATGGATGGTACCATCGAAGTGATATTTTTTCATTCCTGGTGAGCTCGACTAGCAAGACTCCAGTTCTTAATGCTACATGTCACAGGAACCTACAGCGGTTATACGCTTTAGTAGCATGAATATAAAAGGGTAGTTACTATCTGGGGCACACCGTATTCTGATCATATCCGACCTTCACAAGATATACTGGGATACCCGGATATGAATGAATTTTCATTGAGTTATTCAGGAAAGCATTCACTCAGCGTCTTATTATCTACCGTGGCAGAGAAAACACCACTTTTTAGGAGATTTCCGTGAGATTTCCATGATCTTGGTGCACTTAACTCTAGGAAAAATAACTGTTCCAAGGAAACCCGATGGATCAGGTGACCCTTGAACTATATCATCATATACAAAAGGTATGTGTTTTATCAAGAAGCACGGGGCACTTCTCACTCAAGACTGCAGTCAATTGTACAAGAATGATTGATTCGGTCTGCTGTCCGTCCCCTTTTTTGTGCGTCAAAATGGAATGTAGTTTTACTTTTGACCCTGTATGTTCAGACCAATGTAGTCACGGACACCGAGAACACTTTAACTTTGATGACCTATGAAACCATAATAGGTAAATATCCTGGGAGATATCTGTCATAAAACGAAATTTGTTGATTAGGCGGCTGATCCGGGCGGACTGTCACGAAAACAGGCTGATTATCAGGAATGCGGAAACGTTTAAAGCTGTCGCTCTTAGTGGGTGAAGTAGTGGAGAACCAAGGATCCTCAGATACACTTACTGATTTTCACATTCCAACGTGAGTTCGTTTTGATGACCTGAACTTAAGTCAAACTTACGTCTCTTTTCAGTGCGTCGGATTTTTTTCTGCGCAAACTGTGATCTTTATTGACTGACTAACTTCACTGAAAGATGTGGTTAGTTAGTTCCTTTTTACTACTCCAGTTGTTTTTTTTTCAAAAAAAAACTAAATCCTTCATAAACAAGTTATTCACTTGTGTGTCGTCATAGTTGCTTATGACACTTCCAGTGCAAATAGTTGCAAATTGACATGTATTCTCAGCGACTTGCAGTACGTTACATCTTCCTATGTATTATATTTTAAGCTATCATAACAAAAGCTAAGGTTTTTATAAACTTTGTCTTTTAGAAGTAATATGGTCAGAGAACACAACGCCCTAGGATTTTTGCAGTCCATACAAGAACTGACAAGACAGAATCTTTCATCAATGCCTAACCGCCTGAAGCGTTTGAACGACTTCTTACGCATACTGAGAACGTTTCTTCTTCCCGGAGCACCACGCAATATTGGTGAGTAGATGAAGGGCACGTTCTTCTTTCTTTATTTCTTTTGCACTTTCATTATGGCAAGGTTTATACTAACTACTGGCGCCACCGGTAGAGACGATTGTTACACAGGAACAGCGCTTTAGATGATGCCATCCTCTGATAAAATATCGGACAAAATCTAGAACACCAAGCTTTAGGTTATCTTAACTGTTATCTTATTTTATCAAGATACCAAAAGCAAGCCGACCAGATCGGGTCATTGTATGGGAGCGGCCGCCTAGGACAACCATGTTAAAGTATTGTTGTGTTGTTTTTTCCTTGGTCCAAAATCATTCCTACATAGTGTTCTAACCGTGAAGATGAGTAATTTGTCTAAAACCCAGAAAAACTGGATTACGCTGAGACTAGTGTGGTTGTCTGAACTGATGAGATGGTCAGGAATGATACAGCGGCTTACGACTTATAATTTTAATGTCTCAAATCTTTTAGGTTTGTTGAAAGTTAATTTACGTTTTTTTAATTTTAAACCCACTACGGGTTATCCGGAAAGGTGTCATCATTTTTTTGAAAAGAAATTCATGATTCCTCCACAATCTGTTAACAATTTTATCCTTTCATCACACGAATTTTCTAGCCATGCCACTGGACTTGGTTGAGGAGGTCAAAAGCGAAGTGCGGGTTAAGCGGTATCAGACGACAGAAAAAGTGTTCGCTCGACTGGCCCGGGCTTGTTTGGAGTTGCTGTTGCCAGCTTGGATTGCGTTTTTGAAATACGACGCATTTGAATACGCAAAGTATGAATTTGTTTACTCGAATCTACCTAAACGATAAAAACGTTTATGTCGCCATGCTCTATATTATTTGAATTCAATGAACGGTGTTTTGTATACGATCTCAGAAACTCAAAGACACCAAACCTTCCGAAAGGTTGCTCTACGTTGTCTTTAAAGACTCAATTTTCCGGCAAAATGATCGCTTCTTGTTCTTAATTTTGGTGTGAGGGAATACGCGACGGAAGCAAAGTATAGGTTTGGTATGTCCTACAAACCACTCATCACGCAAACATAGGACAAGACCTTGTCTTTCGAAAAGTTTTCAGCAACCTTATAAGTAGTGTGTTCCATGTAGATATCTGCAATGGCGTTTATGCGGAAACCTGGGACGGCCCTTGTGCATACAACAAGTTGAAAAGTAACATATTAGGTGTTTCAGATGGGATTTATTTGAGCTGCCCTTTAAAACCAAATAAGTTTTCAAATGGTTGTGGTTCGTGAATTAGGTCTCTTTCTACCCATCCGCTAGTTATACGCCTTCAATTCTATCTGTTTTTTTTTCGGATAAAGGCGTTGCTTATCCACTGAACACATTTCCATCCACAGGGCATCACATCGGCATTATGATGCCTTCCCGCCTCCTCAATCAATGGATGAATTCGATGTCATTTTTGACAGAAGTGCAGTAGTTATCAAACGCAGATAGTAAGTTTCCACAGTGCTTATTTTCACGGAACTTATTGAGCACAGACAATTCTTTAAAATATACCTGTCATGTCACCAAGACCTAACGACATGATGCTTCGCTGCACTGTACTTCTTTATTCGGTTGTGAATTTGTGCTCGTAACCGAGTGTGAAAAATACTAAATATTCGTTGATAAAAAATTGACAGGATCGATGTTTGTAGTGGAAGAGAGGGATGGTCCAGATTCGGCACTTTATCTCATCTTATTTAGTTACACACATATGAAATAAAATCGGACAAATTATCGTAGAATTATGAATTTACAATTTACTTTGGTTTTTGGTGGGTGAGTGAAGACTGGTGCGTTGTAGAGAATCCGCTTCTTTCGTGCGAGAAGATATCACTGAAATATCCGTACTATCTGTAAGCAATGTCTACATATTTCCCAAGCATGGTTAGGGAATGTATATGGGCCGCCTAACATGCTGGTTGTTGGCAAGCTTGCAAGGTGAAACAATATCTGATGGTTTGCTGTTTACAACCTGTTTACAAACCTGAGAGAAATGGCCTAACTGTTTGGAGCGCAAATTTACTGACCGGAAGTCTGTGTTTCGAACTCGACCTTCGCATCTCGACCTCCCCGTCTAGGCTTAGGCAACCTGGCAGTACCCCAGCCCTCATGCTTCCTTCGGGTTGCATGGCAGTTAGGCATCGAAAGGGTGCTACAGTTGAACAATTTTTTTACAAACCTGTTTACAAACTTTAATCAGATCGGGAAACATCAGTTTCGATTTATGACACCCCAAGTTTACCGATATATATTCCTCTTATGTTACATTTCATCATTCATTTGTGGGGTACTGTGACATTCTTCATCGTACTACCTAGTTGCACTTTGTATCAGCGCGTGAGGGCAGTGATCATCATCAGGTGAAGCAGTCTGATTTGGTGTAGCTGTTGTTACCGCACGATTCTTGGGCAGCACAACTCACGTCAACTTGTACTGCCAGTCTACACATAAACATGAAACACGTTTAAGCCTACGTCTAGAAACGAAATATTTCGGGCGACTTTCTGACGTGAACAGTCAACCAGAGCTTCTGGGGAGCAAAAACCAGTTGAATCTGATGGTGATCAGCGCTGACACACCGCGATTTTTGTTAGAAGGATCTTTCAAGACACGATAATGTGTATTATTGAGTCAAAATTAATAAACCTGCTTTGGTATGATCTCGAAGCCATAATTTAAAAGTGAAATTAATCTCAGGAAAACCTGGCTGACCAAAAATATCCGACCGGAGACTGGCTGCAATTCTGTTCAAAGATATGTATTCAGACCCAAAATGCGAAGGCTAGCTAGGTGATCTGTGCACTATTTAGCTACTCAGTTTCAGAAAAATATATGAAATCGAGTCGTCCCCGAAAGAAAGATAAGTTTCAATGAGTTACTTTGACTAACTGTTCTGTTGATGACGAGTATAAGATATGAATATCACGAATTCATTTATTTTTTTTCTACCAGAAAAGTGCTACTGCGTGTAACGGTGAGGTTTTGCGGCAGAATATAAAGTTTGGTCTACAACGGAAGAAAGCTACTTAGGCTTTGGTCTCAGTTCACGTTCACAATTCGGCTATTGTCTGGAAACACAAGAAGGTAGTACTGAAAAACGAGTCACTAATGTTTATGTGCTCTGTTTCCAGCCCAATTTTCCTCTTGTGCACTTGGAGTAAAAAACCCATCAAAATGATATATTCACTTCTTAGTCCGTTATACTTCTTCGCATCATCTTTACCCTTACTTGAGAGAACTGTGACGTCTGTTTGGGTCCAATTAGCGGTATGGTTTGGCGCATGAAATTTCCGTCCCGCAGTAACCACTTAGAATTTTGGAAAAGTTCACAAGGGGAACGCTGGGACGTGACTTTCAAGGTATTTCCTATTTGTTGGATAAGCGCCACATCTTGTCAATCGATAATATATCATCGATTAATAAATCACCACTCACTTCGATAGTGTTTATTTATTCAATACTGGGTGATGGATACGTGCATCACTGGAATAACTGATATCATTTGTTACTTGTTACGCCGTGTTTACGTTCAACGGTGAAATTGTACAGAGGTGGTGCTGGTTCCAGTGGATTCTTTAGTAGCGATCAGCTTCCAATTCTCTTGATTCTTTCTTAAGAATCAGCGGTTTCGTTTGTTCATTAGGCGGTTGTTAGGCTGAGCATTAAATATTGTATTTGTAATGGTAAAATCAGTTGCATTCAGGTCTTGCGGATGGGCAGTCTGTCGACCAAGTTTTCTTAGGTCACATTTAAACACCTGGGCTTTACCTGAGATTCTGCAACTTCTTAAAAACCATTCAACACCATAAAACAGTCAGCATTATTATTGGTCTCCTTACTTGGATTTCATAGTATAAAACACGTCGGCATGGTCCAGGAATACAAAAGTTCCATCTTGATGTTTCGCTTCTTGTTATCCACAAGCCAACTTTTCTTTTTTATTTGTACCCAGAAATTTCCACTTTGCAACACCTTTAATATCCGCCTACATTGAAGGTACTTTGCTTTAGCATCTACTGAACAGAGTAAGATAATCCTGAGGTCCTCATTCGTAGGCTAGAAAAGTCAGGCGGACCGGAAATGGATTACTCAGAATATTAAATGACATGAAAATTTCACATTGTAGGCAAGCGAAATGCAGTTATTTCAGTGAAAACAGTTTATGCAGAAAGCTTTGTATAGGTGCTTCATCGGCTGACCAGCAGTCTGATTAGCCCACAGATGGATGTTTTCTAGAATCATATTCCCCCAAAGCTCCACAAAAGGAAAGGGCATTTCTTAAACTAGCATATTATCACGCCAGGTTTTCCAGATGATTTGCGTTCGAAATTAAAAGACACAAAAATCAGAAGCATGCAAAACTCCGCTCGTAGACGACACCTCAACGCTGCGCTTCCATCCGTAAGAGACTGGAGTGGAAATTTTTTTCGAGAAAGTTAAAGTGTTGTCTTTGGCGATAAATCTGTTCTTGAGTATTCTCTTTGATCCTGTGATGACGACTAAAGACGGAATGGGGAAAAATAAGTCAGTCAAATGAGAAAAGGTGTCTGTAACAGAATACTCAGAGAGAACCAGGTTTTTCGAGCGGTTTAGAAAATTAGCTCAGAGGCAACCCCATCTTACGCTCTTTTCACGTATCACATCCCAGACTTAAAAATAATATGATGGGTACCTCTAAGTTTCCACGGACTGTACAGTCACCACATTGATTGCAATTTGGCTACTTAACCCATTGCTATAAATTCAGAAATGGTCGTTGGCTTGTTTGCTGACGTGGGCAATTTGGTTGCAAGCGTTTTATCACCAATCGAGGTGACATCATCAGTGCGTAGTTGTGCGTAGCAGTGGGTTAGTGGTTGTGCGTTCAGTAGTGTTACGTGTGTGTTGATATACGTTCTGGTAGCCGGGGATGACCTTTGACTGCGATTAGTTATTCTGTCGGGCGGTTCCATTGGTTGTTCTCTTATCCCATGTCCTCATTCGCCGATGCCCACGTGACCTTGGAACTTGGCATCCCTCGCCGCCACGCATAACTACGCACTGATGATGTCACCTCGATTGATGATTAAATGTTTGCAACCAAATTGCCCAGCTCAGCGAACAAGCCAACGACCATCTACGCCACCTGAGCTACCGACATTCTCCTCTATGGGAAATTCGGAAATACTTATTTTGGTTTACAAACAATCTCGTCCTTTTGAGTTTGTCAGATGAGTATGAGTATGGTAAGTAGGACACCAAAAAACTAATCACGGAGGTCAAACTCTTTTCTCCACCCCCTTTCCTGCATCAACGGTTCACACCTATTTAATGGACAGCTGTGTATTCTCAGGTTGCTTGATTCCTCGTTTCACGTAGGTATGTATCTCAAAGAATACATATAAGCCATTAAGACAGGAAGATATCACTCAGAAGTGTAATAGTTAGAGTAGTGTTTACAGATATTTGCTATTTCTTTTTCAATCAGTCCAGAGGTCCAGAAAATGGCTTCCCAGATTTCACCGTGGGCCGCACTTCCACCAGAAGAGCGGAGAGTTTACGCACGTATCGCTTTAGAGAAACGGCGATTCATGGAAAAGGCAAGGAAGCTGGCTGTAAAGACGGCAATCCGTCGACAGAAAGAGGAACAAAAAAAGGTGTGTGGAAATGCTAAAATTCTACCTACAGGGATATATGAGTTTATATGACATGATTCTAAACAGCAAGTTGCTCAGTGGCCGTAATTTCTAGAAATAAAATGCTCGTAAAATTACACACAAACACATATGCATGCAATAAGTCGGTACTCAATAGTATTTGTGAATTGTGACATACAAACCTATTCCGTTTCCCGGTCGAGATCTAGAATGGTTAAATCTTAAATAAGTTTAATTTGAAAGAGCGATCTCAAGGTTCTGCGAACCGGAAAAAGCTTTTAATAAGTAATTCTACACTGGTTCATTTTCACACTTTCAGAACTTTCGGTAGCTTTTCAGTGAAAAAATGACCGATTGTCAATTTTCGCATCGTCGTTGAATAACATCACAAAATTTTGGACCATGACGATTATCACAGTGGTTCTTGAAGTAATGGAAGAGTATGTGCCGTTAGGAAAAAACATTTCAAAAATATACCAAAATGTAAAGTGGCTTAGGTGCAACATCGCAGTCAACAAAATCATAAGCAAGAGTTACCTGAGACGCCGCTGAGTCTCGCGGTAGAGCCAAAAAGTCTGAAAACCACCTAGTAAACTGTTGACAATTAGAATTCAAGTAGAATGCAATTTTGGTGGGAAATCGGGGATAGGATGAGTAGCATGTTCTTTCAAGAATGTATTTATGCTCTGTATATAAAACCCATTGTCTTTGTAAAAGTGGTCTTTCAGATTAAGAGCCATTAAGCCGAACATCCTCTTCCTAATGTATGAACTGGTGTACAGAATTTCTTTCGCCGTATTCACATTAGGTTTACAAAGTATCTTGGAAGCTGCTTTTGACTGGTTGCTGCCACGGCTTATTTACAACAATCATGCAGGTTGTTACATATTTCATTGTGCATATTTTTGTTACTACTGTTCAAGAGCTTTCACTGTACTTACTTTTAAAGTTGGTACCGTACTGCAAACAAAAATGAAATGTTTTATATAATTGTGAGTGGGGGTTTCGCTTCTATGTACGAGCGTCAACGTTTCCATACAGAAGGCATAGTCTTCTCGAAACTGCGAGTCATTCGATTTCGCTTTCCTTATTTTCGGACCCTTAAAACATTTCCCACACATATTGCTCAGGAGAGTTCTGTTAAAAATTACTAACCTACGAGTTTCTTGCAACAGAAACTACTAATTTTGGGACAAAAGAATCAAATTGTCGCAGTGCAGATAAAATGATATTTGATTCCGACGCACCATAACCAAGGAAGAAACTACCCTCGTTTTCTCAGTAGTGTGTAGGGATGTTCACTTTTGCGATCTATCTGGCCGTCGTGCGCCCAGGTTTTAACAATTCCATTGTGCTTATGCGTTGGCCGGTTCAATATCTAGCACATTTGTTTGCATATACTCTCTTTATCAGAAACAGAAACCGAGAAGCATTGGAATTCGCCGGGTGCCACAGATTCTGGTGAGTTGGTTGCCGAGTTTTCGGAAATGCTTCGGTCTTTTAAGTGGTTCTCCAACGTTTTTGAGATGAGACAGAATATTGAGTTACGTGTTGTGTAATGTTCCTTGTGGCAGCAGCAAGATAGCTTTTACAGACAAAAACAACTAGCCAGTAGAAATTACACTGACGTCTCATGTTGAGCAGCAAAACCGCTGGAGAAAATATTCAGAGCTGAAGTTCTTTGCAAACTAGCCATAAGGAAAGCCTTAAATGAGCTTATTATGATTGGTCCAAAATATAAGAAATATTAAAAAAAATGCGCGGAAAATAGAATGTACTTAAAGGATTAGCGGCAAATCCATTTAGGGTTAGGCTGTTTCTAATGATAATCTCAGCCTGGAGATGATTAGGCAATCATTAGTGAACAAAATCACAAGGCTGTTAATATTGTAACTATGGTCCTGCTTAACCTTTCACAAAGGAAATTTTGCACGTTTACGTTTGACTTTAGATTAAAGATGGGGCCGATGAGGGATCTGGAGCCCTTGAACAACCCGAATATGGCGTTAGAAGGGAGCCGCCTTCGATTAAAAAATTTCTCACAAACAAGAGGTGAGAAACAGTTACCGAATGTTCACACAAAATCACGGTGAATAAATTATTTTTTGTTTCTGTACTGAACTATCTTGTTTTAAACCACTGCATATTCATAAGAAGTTTGTAAGGAGTTGCATTAATACATATATTTCTGTCAAGTATTCAGCATAGGTTTTATGAGTTTGTTCTTATCGTCCATTATTTTATCTTTTTTGGAAACCATCCCCTCAGTGTATCACTTTGACAGTTGGAAAATTTGTAACCAAACTTATTTTTGTACACATCCGACAATTTCAATGTGATCTAATTTGCTTAATGCATAGGGTATGTTTTTATAAACCTCCTTTACCAATTTGTGAACCTATACAGGGGGTAATATGGTCGAATGAAAGAAAATCAGATATCTCCCATTCTCTTATTGCGTTCGGTTCCAAACAATTTTTCTATTCCATATAAAAAATTTTCGTAGCTGACAGATCTCGTTGATTTGTCTTCGTTATGACCCAAGTGGTCACCAGGATCAAAACTATTCTAGCTTTGTACTGATGAATATGGGTGATTATCGCTTGTGTCGATGGTGTTCGGGATACCGACAAAAACTGAGGTTCTTTTCTAATTTCCTCTTTACATCTTTTGCTTCAGTTTGTTGAAGAGCTTCCAGCTGTGGCTAGCTGACCAGCAAGGGTCTCGGGAACAGAAAAAGGAAGTAGAAATGTACAAGCAGCTAATTCGGCAACTTTCCTACGTCATTGAGTCTTCTCGCTTTTTGGCCATGTCCACTAGAAGAGTTACGACCGAGTACCTTGATAGCAAAAGCCGCTTGGCGGAGGCAATATACCAGTAAGTGCGGTGTTTTTCTTACGCAAAAGCCAATAATGTGACGTGCATCTCTCGAAGGGTGGAGTATTTTAATCAAAGCAGATATTTGGATACCTTATGAGGCAACAGGTTACTCTATTTTTCCGTTTTGGTGCACAGCAACGAAGGCAGAGCAGGTCCTTTCATAAGGCCAAATAGTGACTGTTCCTCTTTACACGCGGTTCGATGGAATACAGCAGAAGAGCTTGAAAAGCTTCATAGTGTGATTTTTTCTGTTTTACTTTTCAACAGAGATTTAGATAGTGATCTATGGAAATCCAACCTGACACAGTTTACGAATATTTAGCTGACTGCTGGTCGTTTTGGATCACGTTTGTGGAATCCAACCATGCACTCGTTCGGAATCGCTTCTCCCTACGTTTTCCAGGGCCATGTAGGGTGTGGTCAAATCGCTTGGCAGCTGAAAGAATGGCAAACCTGGATGTTAGGCGAACTTATCGAAATCGTCTTATGGGGTCTCTTCTAAATGGTCCACCGTCAGATTTCAACTCACACTTGGACGAAATCTGCCACCTCTTTGCACAGTGCCGGGAATTTGCCTGTGGCATGACCCAACCAGGCGTTCAAGCACTGGATATCAGACCGAACAGTGTCATTGCTTAAACCTCTAGGAAATATCCCCCCGGTCCCGAACGTAACTTGATGCGACGGACTATCAGAAGTAGAGTAAAGGTGGGCTTGCAAGCGAACGTGAAGTGTGGTGGACACGAAAAGCCAAGGAAATGGAAAAGGCCCAGAAAACCTGTAATGCTCGAAAATTATCTCAGCTGATCCGCTCGACCTGTCCCCGGAAACCATCTGTGAACGAAACAATCAAGGATCTGTAAGGAGTGACCATCTTCAATAAGGAAGAACGCCTCAACCGTTACGCTGAATAATTCAAACAAAAATTGTCGCGGTTATCAGCCGACAGCCATCTAGAACCCACAGGTGACGTAGAACATTGGCGGTGGACGTGGAGCCACCTATGATCTCGGAGGGTTACGACTGCATACGTCCTCTCAAGCGCCACCGAGCTCCTGGTCTAGATGACTTTTCACCCGCGATGTTCAAAGATTGGGGTGAAGTCCTCAGTAAGCATTTGTCTGTTCTGTTTGCTTGCATGTCGGAAAAAGAGTCTGTCCCAGACAACTGAGGAGAGTCCTTGATAGTGCCCATTTTCAAAAGAATGGCTCGTAGTGAGTGTGGTAACCACAGGGGATCAGCTTCACTCCAGTCGTAACGAGAGTGTTGGTGTCACTTGAGCTTCTTCACCTCATGTTGACACGTGAGCTACTAACACAAGAGCAGCAAGTGGGATTCCGTCCTGGTAGGTGTTTTGTTAACCAAATCTTCACGCATTATCAGGTTCTAGAACAATGATATACGTAGAAGCGAACAACAGTTCTAGTATTCCTGGATTTTCAAGGCACGTTTGACTCGGTTGATCGGTCTGTTTTTTCTTGACATGCTTACCTACCAATGAATGCCCCAGAAGTTCGTGAACATAATAGGCTTTTTGTATTCCCAGAATTCCGGACGTATGAGACTATACGATGAGCCCTCCAAACGTTTTCTACACAAAGTGGTCCCCGTCAGAGATGCCTACTCTCTCCAACCTTATTTCACTTTATGATCGATGAAATAATGTCTCCCAAACCCCGGTGTTCGAATACTCTATGACGAAAACCTTGTCGATTTGGAAAACTCAGAAGGTGGTGGTCGTTGGCTTGTTCGCTGAGCTGGGCAATTTGATTGCAAACGTTTCATCACCAATCGAGGTGACATCATCAGCGCGTTTTTAGAGAGCGTAGTTGTGTATAGTCATGGGTTGGTAATTGTGCCACAGCGCAATCAAATTGCCCAACTCAACGAAAAAGTCAACGACGATTTGCGCTAGCTGAGCTACCAACATTTTTCTCTACATAAGTACGAAGGTATAATTGGTTTTGGATGAATTGATCAGAGTCATTCCGTCCTTCGGTATGCACTTTGCACCCACAAAATGTAAGGTCATGCTTGTGGACGTGCAGTCACTGAACACTTGACTTACAATCCAGGGAGAGGTACTGGGATTTGTCGAGCGTTTTACGTGTCTTGTAAGTTGTATTATTTCTGATTGTAGTGTGACAGGTGATATGAATGCACGAATCTGCAAGACTCGGTTCGCGTTTGCTAATTTGAGACATCTATGGCGTCAGAATGGTTTATCCCTGAATCTGAAGGGACATGTGTATCAAGCTACAGTGTGGGCTGTTTTGTTGTATGGCTGTGAGACTTGGCCTGTTTGAAGAGCGGAACTGATACGTCTTCAGGTGTTTGACAATCGTTGTTCCGAACCACAGCTTGTGTGGATCGGTGTCGGCGAATCTGTAACGAGGCAATTAGGAAGCGAGTTTTCGGTTGTGCAATGGGTATTCCCATTGAAGAATGAGTCTAGCACCAGAAGCTACTTTAGTTGGGTCGTATGCCGAACCATCGTTTGCCTAAAAGAGTGCTGTTTTTCATGCCTAAATAAGAGTGGCGTAAACAGAGAGAGGGCCAACCCTTGACTTGGCAGAGGAGTATGAAGGAGATCACGAAACGCTTGGGTGCTGTGGATGCTACTCGTCTTCTAGGATGGGGACCGCATGATCTTCACTGTATCTGGTTGGAAACACTACAAGATATGGCTGCCAACCGATGTCAGCGGCGTTCTTGTTGTCAGCTTCTCGTAACGATTGTAGTGGGATAAGTCCCCTCTCCCTCCATTTTATTCTTTTTTTCACAATAAGGTTATCAAATAAATCATGCTTATACGGTAGTGAAAGATTGGTGTTGAAAACTGCTATCGTAATGTCGATGATGGTGATGATGATGATTTAGCTGAAGCATAAATTAGTATCAATTTGTAATTCGGTTGTCTTTCTACTAGTCTGGTCACACTCATGTGTTGTGGTCCTTGCGTGTCAGGAAATCATACTGTTCAACATACTCATCGCAGTCTTCAGTCTGTTTAAAAAATAATGCAATATTATCAGTTTGTTAAACGGATCAATGTATTTTTAGAACGTACCTTCAGAAGGGCGCCAGCCAAAGAATACCCGTGGCGAACAAGTATGTAGTTAACATGAGCAAAGAGAAAGGTCGGCCAAGCAGTGGAACATTCAGAGGAATTCGAGAAGATCAGTTTCGGGACCTGGACCCACACTTTCTAGAATTTTTAAAGGTATGTACAACCTTAATTCAGCCACGAATTCGTTCGTACGATACGAAAATTTATGGAAATAAACGGCGCACAAACAAATGTAAAAAAGAAAATTTAGTCAACTCGTCCCAAAAGTATCATGCAATCAAAAGTAAAGGGGGACAGTATCAAAGGTGAAGTTCGTTCGTCTGACTGATGATGAGGTTTAAGCTACATCCCACTGAGCAGCAAAGGTATTACGGGGGCTACCTAAGGCACGTGATTTGAACACAATGAATGATGCCCAGGTCAGGTGGCTTTGGGCATCTTGTGTTCACTCCGTACAGATACATTAGATCTTTTCAGGTGGGCAACCGGAAATTCTCCTCCTGCTTTGATGAGGACAAGATATAAAGTGTTGGGTACCGGTGTCCTTTTGCGGTTTATAAGCAATATTTTGTACTTTATTTCTTATGAGGGCCAAACAAGGTTCGCATCTGTCTGCACCTTTGTATACCCCCAGAGGCAGTGTTGTAGAAGATGGGATAAATTATCATCAAAGGAACCAGTGGATTTATTTGTGTTTTTCTCTTTTAGTGGAGGTACAAGGTACAATAGTCCGACAGCGGTCAATGAAGTCAAACAGTGTCATTTTCTTGTAGGGTGGGAAGAGATTTTCCACAGATGTCAGCAAAAAACCGTGAGGACAGAACCTCACGGTTGCTCAGGCCGATGGTGGAAGTTTGATAGAGGCACATCATCTTAGTCGTTTAGTTTAAAACTCTAACTGACCAGGCAGTGAGAGAAATAAGTCTGCTTGCGGACTCCACCCCTAGCCTGCGGCTCAAAATCCTGACCAATGAGTCAACGGGTAGGAGGGTGTTTATTGGAACCCGACTTTGACTGATGGCTCATTAGTCCGGCCTCCTCCGTTGTGGTGGCTGGCCCAACCAGAGGATAGGCGAATCCTTGTGCTGCTGCACACAATAGATGATCTTGGAGCCGCATCAGGCTCTTTGGTTGCGTGTTGGGTAATTTGTCGGTGGTCACAGTCAATTGGTGGACGGCCGAAAAGTATGGATTTTAGAGGCGACATTTCATAATTCGTTCTTCTTTCGGAAAAAGGTAGCATTACCGATTCCATAAATGTAGACCCGTCGGTCGCCTGAAGAAGAGACTTTACTGCCTCTCTTACTCTGTTGCATAGGACTGCAAGTCTTTACTCTCAGGCCGACTCGCATAAACGACTGTTCGCTGTGTGGCATCTTGCTGCCCTTTAATCCGACTGCTTCTCCTTGGTTTCCTTGACATTGTTACATTTTGTCGCTGTACTTTACGTGATCAGTATAGCAGATTGTGTAAGAAACCGCTATCTAAAAACACACTCATGAGATAATTTTGGTGGCTTCCAACTTGCATATTCAGAACAAAAACTACTTTCTGGAAATGGTGGTGCAATCCAAGCGTAAAGTAATGAAGTGCCGCAAGGGTAGTTGTGGTACAGTTGCAACCATGACATCACTACACGATTCCACAAAATGCTCCGTTTGAGAAGAGGCCTGCAGAAAAACACCAGTGGCCAGGCAATTTTCTCCTCAATTGGGACTCGCGAAGTTGACCTAACAGGGCTTTTTCCGTCCAAAAATATTCAGATTGCTGATGCGTTATTGCAAATTAGACTGCGGTTTAAGTAGAGGTCTTCGTAGAGTTCCCAGGTAGATATTTGCGTCATATTTTCAGATGTTCGGTGTAAATGATAATTGGAGCAGATCCAGATGCCTTGCTTAGCATCGTGGCTGGCTTGGCTATGCACGTAACGCAGTTTTGAACCTGACCATCTAGAATAAGGTAGCTGCCTGTTAAACAAAACTGGTATTTCTCCTATCCGAGGTTATTTTTGTGATTCCACAATAAAATTATTTTGGATCGGTCACAGCTCGAAACTAGGCTGTATTTTCGACAACTTTAGAAAAAATCTTTTAAAAACAAACCACTGCTCTGAGAATCTATATTGTTCCTAATGTTGTTGCCATTTCGTGTCACGAACCTCTAGAATGTGGAAATTGCGAACTAGGCACATTCTGTCTGTCGAAGATAGTCCATTTTAAAAAGATGACTAATGTACTCCCAAGTGCCATATTTTAAAGTAGTAAAGATTTTAACTCGTCACCGATATTCTCTTTGAATTATTGTGTATGGTTTTCTCAAGCATTCGAATACGATGCTCTTAACCTACAAGGAATTCCATCTATGCACTCTGTGTGGAGGGTCGTCAATGGAGCACAACGCATTTTCTATTCCCAATAGCGCACTGCCACTTCAAATGTTTCTAGTACGTGGTTTTCTGAGCCAGCGTGCACTGTTGTAGCAGCTACGCTCATCCATCAAACTGCAGTTGTGCAGATCTGAGCTGTTGATCAGCGCGTCAATATACTTTTCAGATACTGACAAGCATATCTGCTGAATACTATTGAGCGCCAGAACATATTTTTGCTAAGCCAGTGATGTTTATCTTGGTTACAATTTTGGTATATATCATAATTTGTTATTCTTTGCAGTTTCTGGCGGATAAATTTGGAATGACTCTTTTTGAACTTGCTGACTTGTCTGAGGAGGATATAATCGAACTGTTGGAGGCACAGGAAGATAAGACACTTAAAGGCGCGACAGGCGTAAGTCACGATTTTGCGCAGTTAATTTCTGGAAGCCAATTTGGGCATTTAATTTCCTTCGCCGAAACGAAAGAATTTTATATGTAGTTTAATTTGCAGTTTGTAATCTATTCCTATTCTACGATGCAAAACTGGTCTTATTCAATATCTGTTAATTTGAAGGGGCGTGATGATTTTGTCTGTCATCCGGTCCATCTCCTTTGAGATAATTTGTTAAAGTTATTAGGGATTGTGGTGATCTCGTGCTTTGGTGTTTCTGTACGATAACAATATGATCGAACCTTTGCGTGCAGGAAGACCAAGCTGACAATCAGACTGAACGTTTTGCTCCCAGTAGCTGCTCTAATCCACTTATCACAATTTTGCGGGTAAAAGCCAGAGGCAAGATGACAAACCCCGTCAGTTCCTGTCTTTTCGCTAGACAAATCTGACCCAAGTCGCTTTGCTTGATCTTTACTAAAGGTTCTTTTATGAATGCTTGCTTCGATAATTATGTCTAAAATTGGATGTTACTAAAGTCATTTGAAAGCTCTCAACAACACTAGAAGAAAAACAGCCTGCTTTCATTTCAGCACGTTTTTTGCCGCGCACATCCAACTGCGGAGGACCTCGCTGCTTTCGAAGCCATGTTGGCTTCTGTCGCATTTAGGCCACTGACATTTGAAGTCATTTTGTTCTACCAATTCTTGGTGAACAATGCCTGTCGGCGAGGAGAGACGTTTGCAGATCAAGATTTTATATTTTGCATTGAAGCCGTCCGATATCAGGTTTGTTCATTTTTTCTCCCTTCAAATTGTTTCGTGGTTCTTTTCAGAACGGCTAGATAATGGTGGTATTTGTATTCATTTATATTATCCGCCTGAAGTAATTTAGACCAGTCTTCATAATTCAATAAACAAACAGCATTTTTTGGATTAAGCAATGGTGATCAGAAATACAAGCCTAGGTAGTGGTGTGGATAAGATAAATTAGAGATCTTTGCTGAGATTTTTGTATTAAGTGGTCAGTCCAGTAAGCTCAATAATCCTGAGTGAAATGGAGAGTGAAGGAGACTAGGCACATTTCATGAACACCGTATAAGTGGGTAAGTTAGATGTCACACAGGAAGGATATCGGCATATCCTCCGAGAGGTATGACACCAAGCAGTAGTTCTGCTATTATTGTACTGTGTACAAGCTATACATAAGCAGTTCTGTTCAAAAGTGTACTAAATGGGATGTTCGAAGTCGTGCTAAAACAAGGGGAGTTTGCAAGACGTTTCTTGCGCAACAACTACGCTGATATAGATAAGGGAATATTCGTTGGCTTGTTCATCTCAAGCCACCGAATTCCGACTGACGGAATACCTGGTTTTTGATTGACAGACTGAGGACCTGCTTGTAGAATGATCGATGCATAGCGTGAAAAATGACGGGTACTATCGACTAAGTTTGTCCTTTGCTATCATGTTGCATCGCTGTTGCGTTGCGACAGCAACATTTGCTGAACGAGGGGACCAACTTAAGGCACATTGGTGCAAACGTTAGTCACTTTAGTAATTCGAGGGTGGATTTGGCTCGAGTTTCAATGTCCCAAGTTTTTTGTGGCAGATAGCCAGAATGCGGTGTTTTGGAGATCATATCAATTTCATGATGTGGCCTTGTTGTATGAAACGCAATAGTGGACATGTTTCCATTTTGCGTCTGTCGCCTTTCCAATTTGATTCCATTTCCCGGTGTGAGTAAAACATAGCGCTGGCTCTTAATTATCCGGGCTTTTTGTGCGTTTACACGAATTGTCTGACTGCGGTTCGATAGCGCGTTTATTCTCATAATAAACCACAACCACTGAGGAATTACTTTGAAGTAGCTAATGCTTAGGGGCCAACTTGGAAACAGCTCATGTAAACTACCAGGTTCCTCGATCCACTCAAGTAAGCTGATGGTACACAATTCGTACGATAAGTCAAGTGATTTTTATAAAGCCTCAAGAATCTACATTGATAATTGGTACCATACCACATTGGTAACCGAATATTATAATAGTGCAGAATCATCCGACTGTAAACCTTGAACATCATAGCTTGAAGTGGAAAAAAGCAATAAAGTGGCGGGGTCAGAAGACTGCATAATTTTGAAAAAAACGAGCAAATAAGGGTCACAGTTAGTAGGATTTTAATGAACTCAGGACCAATAAAATTATCCGGGTAATCTGACAACTTTTGTAACGTTCTTCAACGATGTGTCGCGTGAATTCGCTATCGAATTACCATTCGCCAAGCGGTATTTGATAGTGTTGAATGCCTTTTTGAAGAATAGTATCATAGATCTATCCTTCATATCCCATTCGTCTAACAGTTGACTAGTGGCGTTATAACCACAAGGAACTATATTATCCACGGCCTGCAAACAGTGGAGGATCGGTCAGATGCCACGGTTGGGGTGTCAGGTGATGTACGTTTCATTGGAAGGAAAAATTTGGTGTACTCAATAATTATTCCGTGTATCGCAACAGTACATCTGTGGGTTTCTAGGCTACCGAACAATAATAGAATCCAGATTTCTCGACATAACGCAATCCGTTTGTTAGCATGTTCACTTGAGAGGTCTTGAAAGAGTAACAAGTAGCGAGTAATTCAAATCAACCAAGCTAAATCAGTGGTATTACCGTCTCTCCGGAGATGTATATTGAAGGCCTAGTTTGTAAATATGAGGTTAGAAACTGATCACGCAGTTTGACGGAAAGTATCCATCCGTTATTTTTAACCTGTAAGTGATCTGCAAATCTCGCCTGCGCAAATCTTATTGTTTGATAAAAATACTGTGTTACGATTACTGATTCGGAGAATACCCTTTCATTAAAAACCCTAGTACCAGGTGTCGAATTGTAAGTTTTCTGTGTTGTCCGTGGGAAGTTTGTTGTTGTAACGTTCCATTAAATGTTGCCAAATATTTAGCTGTAAATGTTTCAGTCGGAATGTTGTGCTGAAGCTGGTTCGTTTTTCATCGAAAACCATTAACTGCATAGTTTTCTGGTAAAGAAGCCTACAAATGCGGTACTAGTGTTGCTGTTTTCCAATGCGGTCAGTGTGGTAATTCCACATCTAAATTTTTGTCGTATTGCCTTGAAGATCATCCATCGAGGTCGAAGCTAAGTTATTCAGGATTGAAGTGATTCAGGCGTCTATGGCGCAACCTGACTGGGAAGTCCTCAAGGCGCAACAGTCGATCGACAAGACCAGGCCGACCAATGGCATCAGTCAAGGACGGACATGTTAGCCTGTTTAGAAGTGAAATTTCAGAGGTGTCCAGCCCACGCTGCCCGATTAGTGGTAAAACGCTTGCCTCATACGTACGGAGCTCAAACCCCAATATGGCGAAGGGTATGCAGTACTGATGAGCTGTAATAAGTGCGAAACTCGAGTCCAGTGCCTCCCCTTTATGCTGTAGGCTCACCTGAAAGATTGCGCCGGAAAAGATTGCGACTGTTCAAACGAGAAAGATGCGAACATGAATTTTTTTCTATATTGTCTGAAGCCCTATTAAACTGCGACATGCGAAGAAGATTGGCTCACTGGCGAGTGAGACATTAAACAAACAGCTCTTGCAACGTAAACCCAAATCAATACTGTCTCTAGGCAAATTAAGGTAGACGGCACGATAAATTATACCCAACTTTTTGACTTTCCCGTCTCCCAGGGAGGAAACTGAGATAAAAATGACATTACAGTAAACTTTGTTTCTTTGGGCCACTATTCTATTGTGAAAGGGAACTATTTGGTCTACACATTTAACAGCGTACAAATCATCGAAAAATCCGGGTTAGAACGATGAGTGCAGGGACACTTAACGGAAGCTTCAACATACGCCACTTATTTCTCATTAGTATATAGAGCAAATTCCAGTTATCGTGACCAAGGTTAACCCGTAGCATTTTGTAAGTCGTACGTGGGCTGTAACTATTTCAGTGCCTAGGATAGGTGTGACGTCAGTGGGTATTAATAATGTGGCCGTGACACCACGCAGGTTCCTATAGTGCACGTGAAAAATGGATAATTCACGTCAATATTAGAAGTTGGCATTCCTGGTTTGGAAAATTGCATGTAGACGCTGAGTTTGATGCATTTCGTAGTGATCATATATTGACAATCTCATTTCTGATATTACTGTCTGATGTTGCCATATTCTTCTCCTCAGGAACTGTGCAGAGGCAAAATATGTAATTCCGTACTGAAGAAGAAGGCGAACTGCATCCTCCTGACTTTCGTGGATACACCATTCTTGACCAAGCTGCAGGTATGTCATACAAATGTGGAGAAAGTCTTGACTTAGAAATAATACTAAATAAGAAGAGTTCAGCATCTCTACAGCCGGGAATTTTCTTGTGTACACCCCACAATACTCGCCCGACCCGTAATCCTCGCAATCGCGCGTCATTGTGTGATTTGCAGACATATATTCGTAAACGTGCTATCGCATATACTGTAAAGACTTCAATTTTAAGCCGAAACCAGAGATTACTGCAAAGTCAGCAGTTGATGGACGGTAGGATGCAGTTATCCTTGGTCTGACGAGTCCAAGTTCAACGTCTCTATGAACCATTACAGTATTGATGGGCTGACACAAAAAAGTTACTTCATAATCACACCGCAATATTGTGCTGCTGTGTGCATTCATCGAGGTTACGCATTCAGCAACCACTGATCCTAGAACAACAGCTTGTACTATCCAAGTCACGTGACGACCCTACTGACCAGCAAACTGTAGAGTGAATTCGCGTTTATTGGTAATTGTCCTGAGTATTCTAAACATGCAACGTGCAAGTTGCTTAGTCATGACTGATCAAGACGAAGCACCTAGTTGTCTTTTGAGAGTGTTGGTAGATTCCGAGGGAAGTGGTTGCCCCATATGGATTAAACTCTATCTCTATAATGCCAAAAAGTGTCGGGTTATTTAGTCTTTTATCCAGAGATGCCTCCTGGCTCTTACTGAGCTTCTCTTCCCGGTCATTTGGGACACAGCATCGACGTTTTTGAAGGAGCTCTCTAGCTTCCACTTTGTTTTTGCTTGTGTTAACGACAAGAGATATTTTAAACCGTTTCGTTTCAAATTAACAGTTCGTGATCTTGTGATTCACTGAGATGCAAACGATGATTAGAACAAAATATTCGGGAACACAAAGTCGTTTGGATAAACCAGAAATCAGGTTAATTCCGTCATTAGAACTTTCTTGAAGGATACTTATCAAGTGATTGACCTGATTAATGCATACTTGTGTAAAGCCCAAAGAACCTCGAGCAAATTATGAGCCAGATATCCAAACAGTTGCAAACACTGACTTTTAAAAGTTTTCAATATGCTAGGTCCAGAATAAAACGGTTACAGAAGAAACCCTGTTTAATCTATAGTGTGTTTATTGTTGGTAACGTTACGCGTCTTATGGAGCATTTTCATATAATGTCCCTGATGACGTTACTACATGCGATTCCTGTTCGATTAAGGATTTCCGTAATTTGCACCTTATGTTTGCCAAAACCCTTCCAAACCGTCTTTCCTGTCCTGCTGCTGCAGTACCAACCAGCGTATCTAAATAAAATGGTACCATCTGCAATTTAAAATACGTCATGATTTTCTTTCTTTCATACTCCCTGACTCCAGGTTACAGCTTGGAGAATTATGCTGCCTTCCTGGCAAATTAGCAATTATGAATGTGTTTAAAATCTGCTACGGAAGAATGATTGTCAGTACACAAGCCATAGTTTCATACGTGTAACTGGTCTACTGAGTAATATAGAGCAATGTTCTATATCCATGTCTTCCAACAATTAACCAGTCCATATTATTCTCGAGCAGATATTCTGCGACGAAGTTATTCTATAAATTTTCTACATGGTAAAACACTAATAAAATTTTCATTTCAAACAGTTACAGTGAGGCCTAAGGCTTGCGAGAGCTGATTTAATTTTAAGGATGGCGTAGCAAACCGGCTAAATTATGCCCTAAAAATTGACGAAATGACAATGTTGCTGATAACCATTGTTCCATAAAAGACTGTAAAAACGTACTTTAGTTTATTGTCCTACATTAAGAACACAGATGTTGTGTTGCTCTCATGGGAAAGTGACGATCAGGTGAGTGTAGTTTCCAAGCCGTCAAAAACGTAGTGAGAAGACCAACTTCACTGTCCATGCTGAGATAATGTAAGTCCAGTTAGGGCTCAAAACACCTGAATTATAAAGAATTTGCTGACCGCTTTCAACAGATGGTTGTGCCCATTCAAATGCAATCTACCCTATTACTCACTCATTCTTCCTTGGGAAATACTTCTGAAGCTGATAGTGAATATTTCGGCAAACCTAATTTTATATTCCATCCACATTTGGGATTGCACTGAACAAAGATAGCTAAATCGCTTGTCGGTTTTTGTGTGCTTAAGCAATCAGTTGTAACGTGCACGACTCTCGGTGCAGTGATTCATCCGTAGGTGTTGACTATCACCTTAATACCTTCATTATCTGTTCGAAACTGTAGATAAAACCTCCTACGCTACTCTGTCACGACATTCCAGTTGTTCAGCCATTATCAAAAGCAAACTGAATTACTCTGTAGGTGAACATTCGACTGTCAGCACCTATGGCTTATATCTAAGAAAACCAACCTAACCCCGTGCTTCTCAGAAACTCTCATTTCAAAACTTTATGGAATTTGTGACAACAAGTTAAAAAAACTCAGGACTGCTTGAAGAACTGAGAGGAATTTTCGAAATGAGCGAAGCGTTAACATGTCCATGCGTGTCTGTCTCTCTACGTTCATCTCCTATCTTATGTTGCGTACGTTGTGGTCAATAACTTGTTTTCCCACCATTGTCTAGATCGGTGACTTGATTGTCTGCCGGTTATTCAGAAATCCCAAGTTTGCTGTAAATTTTAATAGATGTAACTTAACCAACAAACCAAAACCACAGTAATCCCCAGATTTATGTGTTGCCTTGTTTCATATTTCAGGTGGACTTACCACATGCCTTTAGCAGCATTTTGGTCCAACAAGTAAAGCGCGCCCTGGACGCAAAAACCTCCTTACCTCCGGATATTTATGAAGAGGCAAAACATAGACTTACTCAGGAGATTTTGCCATTTTGGGCTGGATTTCGACGGAATGTGCTTCTTCAAGGCAAGCCTATGCTTGGAGCGCCTGGTACTGGCACTAAAGGTGTTGAAAACATCTTCAGGATTCCGCCGTTTTCCACAACATCAGGTAGGCTACTTTGTAACAGTCCTAACCATCTTGAGTATATTTTCAACTAAGTTTCACAAGACGCCATTTGCACTCATTCATTGAAAAGTTTGATAACTTTCTCCGAAAATTGTATCATCTCTGTGGAGGTGGCCCTCTGAACGTAACCTGACAGTGCTAAACTTGTCGCGTCATTGAACAAATATAGGGCATCATGTGAATTATCGCTCTCTAACCAATGGAAGGATCAAGTGAAAATAATTTTTTTCACAAGAATATGTTTGTCCAAACGGGTCTGTCGAACGAGACTGAGACCAACCCGGTTTGAACTGAGAAACAAAAAAAGTCATTTCACATTAGTACACACCGAAAACTGCGTCACATATATTTTATTTGTATCGGGCGAATGACTTTGACACCAAGTAAAAATTTAGAGAAAACAGGTGATTAGAATAAAATGGTTAGTGTTCTAGAATCGAAGAGTCCTACTTTTCCTAATGATTGCGAAATCATGCAAGTCGGCTTTGGCCGTCCACTTTGATAAAGTTTCGGATTACGCTAGTCCCTTTAGCTCAAGCCATCCATGGTTTTCCAGATTTTTAACAGCTGTGTACTGTTGAAGAAATACAAATGTTCCTTTTTGTCTAGTATCTCAAACGAAGTTTTGTGGTGACAACCTTGATAGCCAGGTAGCGTATATAATGCATTCTGCTAAATATATTAAAGAAATCACTGTCGTAGTCTGGGCTTTAGTGAGAAAATAAAGTTCCAAAAGTCACAAAGTGGTTGCATAGGGTATGTTCCTCACAAATCGACATTTGTGTACTCTTAACAGTTCTGATGGTGTCTTGTGAGTAACAATTAGCCTTTTAGGGAAACGTAACTTTGATACAGTGTTCTGTTGAGAAGGAATAGTTCGGAATGCTTCTGCCTTTTGCGATAGATAAGTTGCTTCTGGAAGACCAACATTAGTTTACCAGGACATGAAACACTCCCCGGAAATAATTTTCGAACATAAAGTGCAGTAGCATTCAAGCGAAATCTCTCCGCATATAACTATAGTCGAGTTGGTACTAAACTTGTTTTTTTTCAAACATAGTTTGCAGTTTTTGCCGGAGAATAAACTAATCGGTTTGTCCAATCACAGCATTCAATTACTTCACGAGTGCATTTTTTCTTGTTATGCTTTCGTTTTCAAAACACCTGATAGGAATCCAACTTGCTACAGGCGATATTTTAGACCTAATTTGATGGCGACTCGTATCAGAAATACGCAGTATCTTGCAGGATCACTAAAAGATCACCTCCGGCGCTAAAACATCAGCATTCATTTTATTTTCAGGCAGTTCCAAGACCACAATGGGGGTATTCTGTTGCACAAATAATACTTCTCTCACGGATACACTATGCCAGTCTAGTCTNATACACTATGCCAGTCTCCTGGGAGGGAAAGCGCGGGAAAGAGGTTAACCTGTAACCTACATTGTATTGAAGGGGTGCTTACTTCCATTTTGTCCAAAAGCATTCAGTCAGTGATGCACAGCGGCAAGTAGCTGACTGCAGTGTACCAGTGGCAAAACATTCTGCGATCAAGGGTTTAATCTTGCATCGGAATCTTTGCCACATTGTTGCTTAGGCCGAATGTTTCATACTGCATATAATTGGAATCATTACAATACTTGACAAAAGGCCGATCGCAGTGGTAGGCATATTGCCAACGCACGGGCGACATACTTGGACAAAGTTTTCTCGGTGCTATGCGTAGAACCTTTTTGCATAATGTAGCGGATTATTCTGACTGCCTGCTTACACTCTGACGTGAACTTATCTTTGCAAATACGGACCCACTTTAACCAGACAGTACGCATCTTAGAAGGCTTTGGAGAGCAGACTCGCAAAAACAACCCACTGCTGTCAAGCCTCTGAAGTATGTTGTGTGTTGTAATGAAAGGTTGAAAGGTAATTTAACTCTTCGGTGAGGAGAACCATATGGTGGCTGGTGAGGAGACTTTGCTGGAGAAAGAAACCCCCCAAGAGAGACATACCGGAAGTGTTGTCTGGATCATTCATGGAAACGGCCCTCCTCCAGGGAGTTTCTTTTTCGGCTTACTGTTTTTTCTTCGATCAAATGGTACCTAAGTGATTTGGAAAGCAGGCACTTCAAAAATGTTTCACCCTTAGATAATTAGCTTATTTCCCTGTCTTTATGGATACTGAACGAAGGCAATAAAACAGCGCCAGTAGATGCTACAACGGATTGCTTTGCTATAGAAACAGGATCATTTAGACGGAACAGTAGGCTTCAGAAGGCACTGGGAGTGCTGTCATCAACTTTGACCCACAACCAAAACATACAAGAGTCTCTTGTTGAAACTTTGGCGCCGGAAATTCGACTTGTGTCATCCGATGGCTTCTACACATTAAAAGATTTTTGAATCCTTAATGAGGAAAAAAATCGATTGTATTTTATGACTTTTAGTTCCCTGAGTATACAGAGTATACGAACAACTGATTCCCTCTGTCTCCGAAAACATACAAGCTGTCAGTACACTTGGAACTGAAGTTCTACCACTAACGCTACAGTTGTACATCAATTTTAGCCCATCGCCAACATTCTGGTGACCAATATCACACACGACTCGAGTACTCGCTTCCGGATTTGCCTTCTGAGAATCGTGCCAATATGATAAATTTTTCAGTCAAAAATGGGGCGCAATGGGGCTATTTCGAGGAGTGGTGAAGGCGGGAAACTGGAGTACACCGATTGAAGTTTAAGAGTGTCTCTCGCGGTCGACACAATGCCATATTTTACACTTCGTTTTCTAATGTTGCGCGTACGGACTTTAGGGTAGACAGGAATTTTCTTCCCAAACCCATTTTCTCCAAAGTATCAAACTTTTACACAAATAAGCATGTTGAAATGAATAAATGTATGACTTCTTGACAGTTTCTCTTATTTTTCTCCCATACCTAAGGACATGAAACCTCAAGACTAGAAGTTCGTATTTCAGTTGGGTTTCCAAAAATGGCGTTATTTGGGTACTCAGACAGGAGACAAAATTAAACCGATGTTGATGTTCAACCCCCTTATTGCTCCGTTTGTTAAGAGGGAATAATCGGAATCAATGCGATAGTTTCCGGCATGTGACACATGCCTGCTGTGCAAATTATGTCTACAAATCAAATAGTTTCTTCAGCATAATTAGAAGTTTAATCCCTCTGTGAAATGTAATCAATGACCGTTAACTCGAGATCCACCAATCAGAATGCTTTTCAGACATAACCATCATTACTGACCGCACTCAACACCTGTAATAATCAGACTTGGATGATTCTTGGGTTGAACGTACGCAGACGCGTAGAGGAAATCCGATGAAAATAAGGTGTTGCCATGGCATAAGCAGACCTCGACACTCTGTCTCATTCAAAGAATGATAGTCGCAGGACACGCAGATAGTAATTGCGGCAAAAGGACCATAGCGTAGTTCGAATGAAACCTTGTCAGCTGATGTCAATGCCTCTTGACCAGGTCTGTTGCGTAAAGCTAGGTGTACACTCTACATGGCGCTGTAAATAAAAGATTCAAGTTTTATGATCACAGGGTCATAGAATAGGATTTTAATGTACATATTATCGCTTGTGACACATTCAGCATATCCTTATATCTGCTTGCAGCAGGCTGTGTAACGTTATCAGTATTGTTCTGTAATCTAAACTCCATGGTCCAACAGGCATTGCTTTCCAATACACACCTAATTGATTTTGACATAAAAAACCCTGTCCTTAATGTTCGAACTGGATGTTTTCTTAGCACTTCAACAACTGTGAAAGAAGCTTGAAATTCAAAGAAACAGAAACGGCTGGAAAAAATTAACGTAGATGGAGCAGTGCGCTAGGGGTTCATTGAATGTGTTAAATTAAGTGCGTAGTTTTGCCACAGAAAACCAGCTACGGACTAAAGTCAGGAATGTGTGGTAACGTGGTACAGTTGGCCTCTCTATATTCTCCTGTATTAGGCAACGTTCTTAAGACTGATTCGTGGAAAAAAACTAAAAGACCCAAAAGTTGGTGTAGTAATTCTTTCACGGGTAACTTTCGGTGGTGACCATCACAAGCGGTCAGATAATACTAGGTGACTTCGGACACGTTGGCAGACTCAACACTTGGGATTTCTCGTGGTTTCCTTCCTCCATTATTCCGGTCCCAATTGGCAGTCGCAGCAAGTTAAAAAGGTTGATGTTTATTGTACACTCAGTTATGGTGACAGTAGGAGGCTATTGGAGGATGGGGTGTTAAAATTAGAGAACACATATGCATCATTTTGAAAATGCGCAAACCTGAATTGTGAGGAGGTACCGATCAGGATGAGTACCTAAACGTAGCTTTTATTCGAAATTTTGACATCTTTCCAAAGCTGAAATTGACGGAACGCAATTTTCTATATAAGTATTGATCAGAGTACAGCCATATGCGAAACGGCAAATAACTAACAAGTGAAAATGTACACTTAGATGTCTAACTTTTCACGTGATTTAGTGGCACCTTTCAATGAGGGAGTGTATACCGACGAATTTTCTATGCGCTTTATATTCGGCATATATCACTATGTGACTATATGGATAGATTTTTACTAACCTCCATTACTGGAGCTCAGATTTGTAAAAAACATGTCGTTCCAGTGACTTGACTGCCTCAGATCGCGTTCCGATTCCTGTTGGCACTGCATTTCATCAACATACTTCTTCTACTTGGTCTCCAAGACCAAAAGTTCAGCTTGACCCAGGGGGATTTTGGTGCATTAGACAGTTTAGATGGTCCGGTATACTGAAGAGTTAACTTGAATTTGCTACATTTACTCGGAATTCCGTCTGCGCAAACCAGCAAAACAGTCGGGTATCTAGACTTTCTACCGGATATTCATTGACTGCTGATCAAATCCAATCGAACGCTACAAAGTGGCTTCATAAATTCCGCCACAGATCTCCCTTCTCAAGAAAGACAAAGCGGATCTACAAGAAGAAAACATACCACTCGCATGCCTCCCCCATCAGTAGTATAGTAGGATATTTTGAATAACAGCCGAAGAAGTTGCCTATTTAAGATATATGAGGGGACGTGTGACACCATTTTTTGCAGACGGATTAATGCTTAAGCCAATAAGTAAGTTTGGAATTTTGTGCGATTTATCCCAGAGTGATCGAACGTCCATTCAAAGTGGGAATTTTCGCTGCACGTCTAGGTCACACTTATTCGTGAGGAAGTACACGTCCCATAAGGTTTTCCAAGAATCAAAACAGAATCGTTCGCAAACTACTTTGGTGTTTACTGAAACCACCAGAATCGCCCGTTTATGATGGTCTCCTTCAACTCAGCGTGTTGAACAAAGGCCGTAACAAGGGGAACTACTCATGAGGCTACTAAAATCTCATCGACTCCCCAGCATCGTCTAACTAGTTCCGGTTACTTGCAAAATAAGTTGGCTTCGATGGGCGACTCAAATAAACTCATCCTTTTTATGTCTTTTTGCACAAAGCCTGGTGCGGTCGTCAACAGATATAGTTTAAGAGCTGTGTACAATTTGGTTTGAGTCACAGCGAACAAACAAACAAGCAAATTGATGGAAACTCGGAAACTGCACCTACCTGATGGATCCCAAGGGCGGTGAAACCGGTTGTGGGCCACCGAAAACCTTCCGAAAACCTTTCAGAAAAGTCCCCCCAAACGATTCACATAATGATTGCAAAATTAGACAACAGACTTTATGCCAGGCTTGCTATGGCTATGCGGAATCAGTGTAACCACGCGTTCCATTTAAGTCCTCTTATTATAATGGCTGATGCATGAATGGAGTACCTCTGTACACTCGATATTTACAACTTACCATTGTGTGCACAGTCGATCGTTAGATTCCACGTACTGCTTCAAAAGTGTACAACGATTAAGTGGGAAATTCTGATTTCCCAATTGGTGTAGCCTTGTTACTTTATGAGCCCCGTCCAGTTGATGAACCTAGGTACGTCGGAATGCCTAGTAACCGAAATTTAACACTGCATGTCGTATGTACAATCAATTTCCGCACAAATTCTGAATGAGCTAGAAAATACCAACTTCGAGTTTTGGCTTTTTCTCCCGGATGGTCATCAGTTGATCATAAAACCTTGGGCTAACTGATGAACCAAGAGTGGTTTCATTCATGTAAGCCCATATAAGTAAGAAAGATTGAAATGAAACTTGGAGAAAATACATCGGTTTTACCAGTGCAAATAACAGCAATGATTAGGGAGATGTAGAAACTCAACTGGCGTACACGGGGCTAACGGCCCTTTTAAAAAGTGAATGGGCATTGGCTTTAAGTTCTCTGTTGACAGTAGTTCTCTTTTGAATGACAGAGCAACGAAGCAGTTATTGAAACAGAGTGAGTCTGAACAACGGTGGGTCTCGACAATCAGTTGAAACTAGAATCGTTTATTCAAGTGTCGATTTGCTTTGTGAAGGTGAGAGGAGCTCGGTAAACAGTGGGACTCAGGGGACGATAAGCATCGTTGAAGCGTTTTTCGGAGTCATCTAAACTGTTCCTGGCTGAGTATGTTCTCATGTATGGTGATTTCGATCCCACAATTGGTGTACCGCCAAAGGATGGTTGCCTGAATGTTACCAACCCAAGATCTTGCGGGCGTTCCGGTAATGGTGGTGCTGAATCACTTAAGCTAGGCTGGTCACAGGACTGAGTTGTGGAAACTTTTCTCGAATACCCCTCACCACCTTCACTTGCAGGATGACCTGTTTTAGTATAGACACCGAACGGATCACATTCATCGTACACACCATTGAGATGCGCTTTAGAAACAAACTCATTGTTTGGTGGCGGAAGCAGTGCCTGACCATTCTGACGCCATGTACCATACAGCTCGTTAGTTGGACACTGAAGTACAGGTACTGTGCTGCACACGGTGGCTGTTGAGTCTCTGTTGTTGTGATAGTAGATAATTCCACCACGCCCGCTGAAGGTGTCTAACTTTCTCCTGCAATGAATTTTTAAAGAAAGCTTGAGTACGATTAAATTAATTCGACATGCATGCATCTTCAAAGAGATTAACTTTATTAATAAAACAGAAAAGTACAAACAGAGCAAAAATAAGTGCTGATCAAAAGCACCCGAAGAATGCTTCTACAACAGAAACCTCCGGTGGATACTGGAATTTCTCCGCAACTGGTGAGGAAAGAAGAATTTATTTATTTATTCAGATATTTTATTCAGATATCTTTGGAATTTTTTGTCAGAATAAGTACAATTTAGCCATAGTCAATGCTGGTGAAATTTGGTGCGGAGCTCTCTTTTCATAAAAATTTCAGTGGTTGGTTCGATTAGGCTTGTTCAGGAACAGTCTTTTGGTGGGTAAAAACTCGAACTCAAGAGCATACAACAGTGCGAACATCAACTTTCCATAATCCAGTTGTTCTACGAAAACAAAGCCACGAAAATTAAAAAAAGTGCTTCAAGAAGCACTTTCTAGTACAGAACTAAGTATGATGGAAAATTCCCGAACGAGTAAATATCACCGTCTGCAATAAGAAAACCCATGTAACTGATAGGCCAATGAACAGCGGAAAAAAACTGCCTATCAGTCTTTTGGTTAACTCGGTGTAAAACGTTCGCCCGAATGAGGTCATCCGGTTCAGAGATGACTTTCCTAGGTTTACTAACCCTTTCTCTTTAACCGATCTGATCATACCGCCACGTTGATGCCCACCATTACACGATCTCGTTGATTTTAATCACGTGTGTGCGTGTGGTAACAACGCTGTCACGGTCGTAGTATCACCTTAAGAGGTGCTTGCGACGCTGGATTGATTGAGCATTTTGCACCTGTAGGTGCGTTGTGTGAGCAAACGCATAAATTAGTCGCTCATTACTTGCAGTGTGGTGAGTGTAATGGTCTTCCCTATAAATGTCAAATGATATTTCTACTCACTGTTGTTCAATCCAAATGATCACCGTCAAGCTAGCGCCCACCTCCTGCGGCCACCTAATGACACATCTAACAGAAAAAAATACAAAGACTGCCACGCAGTTTGTCCTTCGAACAATCGAGAATTATGCTGTTGAAGCGTTAGTAGGGAACATATCCGGCAAATCTTTCTGAACAGGCTGTTAGACGGTTCCAGTATGACACAACCGAAATAATTATCGTTTCAGAAAAAGTCTGGTAAACAATCGGTAGTTTTTATTTGAACAACGTTTCGCTTTGAGACAAAATCTTCATCAGTCCAAATGAACAGGTCGCCAAATTGGCTAGATTATAAGGCAGACGGGGAACCAATCAGTAAGTCCTCTTCACACTAGATCAGTGTTGAGTGTCAAATAACGGCTCTTGTCGGCTAGTGTGGGTGCCAAAATCTTGAATTGATGGGTTGGAGGGGTCCCAAATTTTTCTTTCAATAATCTTCCACTTCAGGGTGGTTCACTTGATGATTCACCTCGGGTGCCACTAGTGGATTTTCCTTGATCTTCGTGGGCATGTGGATGTTACGACAATTTAGTTGAGAGGAGGGGGGTGCATAAGGTCGAGTGGAATCCAGATGATGACTACTCTTCCCTCTGATATTTGGAAACCAACACGTGTTAGCTCGAGTGACACAAGACCGTTCTTCACACGCGTGCCAGTTCCACGCCTTCTATTCTGTTAACACTGGGAAGCTTGGCGGTGTCTACCGCCTCGGCTATCAGTCTTTGTGACGTCAAAATCTCCTCAAAACCTCAACATTTTCCAAGTCGATTTTGTGTCCCGTGTCCAGTGCGTGTTCCGCGACTGCCGAGTCTTTTGGTAACGCCTAATATGCATCTGGATTTCTCGGCGGCCTGTTTATTCTTCTACTATGCTCTCCGATTATGGTGTGTAGTTCCCTGGCCGTCTGTCTTATATAGACCTTGGTGCAGTCGTTACACTTAATTTCGTAGACACAGTCCCTGGTTCTGTTTGCCGGGAGGTGATCCTTCAATTGCACCAGTGCAGAGTGCAGAAAGCTACTCGTACGTTAGCCATGTTTAGAATTCTTCGAATAACCTCCGATGTCCCTGGTTTATATGGGACAACAGCGGTCCCGAACCATTCCCTACTGAGTTTCGCTACCTGTGCCAACACCATTCGCAATTGAGGCTTAATCATGCTAGCTGGATATCCACTACCCCGAAGTTTGTCCTTTGCATCACTTTGGGCCGCTGTCCGATCAGCTTCTTCTGTGCACAGGGCCTTTACACGCCTAAAAGTTGATGACGCAATATTGGCGAAGCCGACTTCGGATGGGCAGACGTGTAGTTCAAAACTGTTCCGGTGTCGGTTGGCATCTCGTACACTATGGTCTCTAGTTTCTTCCCAAACTTATGTGTCATGCAGTCTAAAAAGGCCCGTGTACCCGAGGTTGACCCCATCTCCATATTAAATCTGATCTGTAAACTCAGTTGATTCAGATAATTGTAAAACTCACTAAACTCGTCCCGTTTCATGACAACGAAAGTGACATCTACATACCACCAGAATATCTTAGGTGGGTATGGGAATCCGGCCAAAGCCCTCTGTTCCAATTCTTCCATGAATATATTTTCCGAGACCGGGTATATTGGAGATCCCTTTGCTAGACTTTGTTCTTGAGTATAAACCACTTAGTCAAAGATGAAGTGGGTGAGATTCAGGCATGGTTTTATGCCTTCCACTATTTCATCTACGGTAAGCTGTGTCCGTTCTGAAAGGGTGGTGTCCGCCAACAGCAGTCGCTTGGCTATTTCTAAGGAATCACCTTTTGGCACATTTGTACATAACGAATTCACACAGAAACTTACGAGGATGTCATCTAGTTCAACAGTGACACCCGCTACCTTGTTGGCGAAGTTATATGAATTTTAAATGTAAGTAGTAGATTTCTCAGTGAGGGGACATCTGGTTTATGGATTTTTGGAAGGCCATAAAGTCGTGGTTGGATTGCAATTGGGGTACAATCAATACTAGTTGCCTTGCTCTAATTGGTTTATCACGGACCGCAAATATCTCCCAACTTCGGCTTTACTCCCATTCATTATAGATGTAATATTCACCTTGTCGATCTCCCGATGGCGACCCTCAGCTAGGTGTTGCTTAAGCTTCTGTAAATTATCATTCTTGTTCTTGTTAGACTCATCCATTGAGCACGCAAGGCCCTTGCAAACACAAATTGAGGGGTTATGACGAACTCGCATGTGACTTCTTGCTTGTACGTCACTGGAGTGCGAAATGTTTGACAGTCTGATGTTGCAGAAAATCGATGCTACAACGACGGACAGTTATGATGGCCGTCTGTTTTTACATGTACCAGAATATGCCAGGCCAACAATGTGTCACAAGATCATCATGAGACGCCTAAGGTTACCGGATACAGGCATATGGCTTCTGGGTAAAGGGTGCGCAAGGCCCGTAATCGTCGTTTGTACTACAGAGTAGTATAGCCCTGTGAGGCTTGTGAACTACAATAATTTACAGATTTTTTATGCACGTGGTGCTTCTAGAAGAAAAAAGCTACATTTTCTGACAACTACTCACAGATACCAAGCCCATAAAGAGGGATTTCTGCTGTGTTCAACAAATGAGGTACTAAAATGGCAGAATAAAACTGCTACAAATAGCAGACTTGTCTGGTTAAACATGTAAGCATAAAGTCAGAATGCTTCACTTAGAATGATCCGCAACTTAACGAAACTCCTTAACAACTATCGTTGATTAAAAAACTCACAACACTTTGCGATGTGCCAAAGAATAGTTTCGTTTTCGTTTTTGGGCAGAATCACTAGGTTACGTGGATGGTCCAGATTAAAATGGAACGAGAACTAATCAACCAATTTAAGTTATTTCTGTATTAGGTGCAGTTCGAGGAACATTGTTTGTTAGGGTGGGTTCCAAGTTCTAAGACCGATGACGAAACTTACATGAATTTGGGTCCGGCTTAGGGCATAGTTCTTCTGGTTTTATTCGCGCGATGATTCCCGCTGAACGTCATTTTCACCTTTTGTCCATGTGTGTGGATGAGTTAGTGCATCGGTAGTTGTTTAAGGAGGAGGGATTATGTGAACTTTGTTCGGGTTGGGAATTCTACTCGGCTTTTTTGCCAATGATCTTATGTGCATTCAAAACCACACACATTCACGTGTCAAGTTGGCTTATTCCGTACGCTCGCCAGTCCCACACCCTCGATTCTATTCACGCTTTGATGCTTGGTAATTTTCACCACCTCAGCTATCAGCCGCTGTGGTGGGAATCGCAGTCCGCGTCTTAAAACTTCTACATTCTCGCGATCTATTCACTGTTCTGTTGCAATAATGCCGCAATTAATTGAAGGTCTTATTTCCATTTCCGCGGTTTTAAATTGGACTCCATTTCTATTTATGGGGGTAAAGATGAAGCCATAATTGAGTAGGTGTTTTGATTCTGCCCTTGCACTTTGTGCTTCACGTGTGAGTAGGATTATGTTGGATTTCCGGAGACAACTGCACTGAATTACAATCTGTACATATCGGTGAAAATTAGAGAACTCTTTCAGGCAGTGCATTTATGGCTTCATATTTACTGTGAGACAAAATGTATGTTTACTAACACTGTTTTTGCTTGCTCAAAAGCTCCTAGCGGGAAGCTCCGCCGCAAGAACTACACAATTCAACAACAATCCCATAATAAGTTTTATGAGAAATTATTTTTTAAGACCCAATCAGAAGCAATGAAGCTGTTCAAAAAGGGTAAAAAAGAGGTCCGTACATGGACAATATCCAACCAGACCGTTAGGAAGCTACGGCAAGACGTCATTTCTGTCTCACTATGAGGGTAAGCTCAATGAATCTGTACGGTGTTTAATATGGTGCTTTGATAAGTCGTGTATCATGTGCGGCGGAGAACAACTGGGCGAGTGCAAACATTTCGGCTAAATGTTCCAGACATTTCAGCGCTCCAATAGTTTGATTACACGGAGGGTCGAGGATAGTTAAAGACTTTCGTCGCTTCGGGTGACTGCCATTTTGACTAAAGAAAGTCTTCCAACTAAAACTCATCATTTGTGAGTCATTTCTGGATGAAATATAATCAATTCTCTCTTTGAAATTATCAGCCAAGCTTTCACTACCCGCCGATGGTAGTTCTAGGGGAAGTATTTTGTCATATCGCGATGGTGTACTTAAGAGAATGTCAACGCGGTAAATTATGTGTGCCACTCATTAGGAGCGGCAAAAGTTACAGCAAAGGACCGACAAAAATGTCTGTGTAATCAACACCACATTGACGCATCGTGTCATTAAGTAGTTGAAGATTGGGTTAAAAAGCGAATAGAGGAGCCGAGGTAAGTAACTGTAGCAACTTAGTCCAAAGTGGTCCAAGACATTTTATTAGAACTATAAAGGATTAGCAATGTCTGATTCCAAAATGATGTACCCACAAATTACCTTTGGTATTTGTTGACCCCAAAAGTATGTGGTGCCCGCAAACCATATAAGTTGTTATTACTCTGCATGTTAGTAATTGGGCGCCAAATCCATATTATCCAGTAAAAGGCGGGTTACAAGCATTTTGTTGGGTTCGGAGACCGGCAAGGATATTCACACTTAATAACGAAGGCAGAACGGCCACTGGATACTTACATTATTGATCGATGCCTCCAGAACAGCGTCAGTGTAACGATCATTGTTAGGACGACCAGTAAAATCCCAAAGAATGATATCCCTCCGATAAAAAGCCAGTTCACCTGAAGTGATATAAAGATATTAGAAATAAAAACATCCTCCATTCATTTTGATTCTTCTTACAAGGGACTAAAAAGTGTCTCCTGATTTGAGATTCACCTAAGTAATTTGACAATTCGTTAGTCTAATTTTAGCCCATTTCGAGCCCAGAACCTAATGAACGTAATATCAAGCAAAGGAATTTTAGAGAATAACGGAACATTTCGTGTACTGTTTTGTTAACCTTGGAACAGATTAGCATGTTGCGGAGGCAGTCCAAATGGGATAAAACAAACCCGGAACTAGGATTTCTCCCAAGTCCCACGTGTACTTTATTTTTTCATATCATTAACCTGCAAGCATTTCCTGATTGAAGTTTGCCGGCTTTGAAACCTCAGCAACTGTGCTGCTTCTGAGATAATGTTATTTCCTCATCGTATTTCATTGTTCATTCGTGGGAGGGCGTTTCGCTCGTACGACTAGTCAGCTTGGGAAACTGATGGCAGTAATGCAGCCAAACATAATTATTCAGGCTAAAGAGAATAGCAGAGCTTTATGTCTGTCAAAATATAGTCGACTAATTATTTGTGAATCTCTCGGACCTGCTTTTGTGGGGAGTACTAGCAATTCACTCGCAGATCATTTTAATTTGTGGCCGCTTGTGAGCTACAAAGGACTCCCAGATATAACTGCTTTCTCTTTTCGAGAGGTTGGTAGACGTTAAAATTACTATTCATGACACATCGCCGTGCTTCAAATCTTCTGAAAGCCGGTAGTCCTTAATTTCAATAAGGACTACAAACATTATGAATTGAGTCTTTCTGGAAGTAGTCTCACCTGATCGTGAAGGGAGCTACTCAAAAAGTATAGTATTAGTACAAGTGTAGCAACTTTGCTGTGTACATCACAGTCATCAAATTTTCACACCCAAATCAGGACGCGGAAATTCGGACCATCCTAGACAAGACCTTCATCACCACTTCTCGCCGCGCTTTTTCATCCACAGCGAGACAGGATAATCAACCCATCTAAAATCTGGATCGTCGTTTGGGTAACTGAACGAGTACCATCCGATGCATTCTGTAACTACAAGTATGTGTTTGAAGAACGGGGTTCACTGTTTCCCTGAACAAACTGTAGCAGATTTTGAGAGCTCAAATAAGGACCGTACGCGTGCGTTTAGTGTAGCAATTTCCCCCTGGGATGAGAATGTTTCTCTTGGACACATTTCGGAAACTTGAAGTGGACCCTTTGGAATTTTGAATGTTGGCTACGTGTGTAATCAACCGGTAAGCCCGATTACTGATCACCGACAGAGCGTCTTTTCTGTGCGGTGTGGAATTTCACATGGTTTTACGGAACGAAGAAAATGTCGGGAAAGTAGAACCAGTGAACTTATGCAGGACAAGCCATGGATAACATAGCTTTTTAAGGAAATCGCGGAAGATGGCAAACGGTTGCCTCGTTTTCCAGCAACGTTTCACCACATTACGTTCCCCGTACCAAGTAGCAAAAGGAATCCAATTATTCCTTCATCAAGGTCATGAAGTGCATTAGCTAATTACTCAAATCCGCTACTATATTTATGTGATCATCCATTATCTGTATTGGACCCAAACCCCACGATGCTAGCGTACAGATGTCACCACTTGCATCTTGTTTAATAAGTTATACTGGTGCCGCATGCTCCGGAACATGATTCGATAAGCAGCCTACTGTTTCTTAACTTTGTGACATTCTTTTCCACGACTCTTATATAGAGCCAATTTCGAACGTGTTACAGGATGCCATAAGTATGACTGTACCCTTATGTAACGCGCGTGATCCCTAGTGTTTCATCGGGAGAACACGAAAGTGCAAAATACGTCCATCAAACAGAAAGGTGACAGAACATGTACACCCACTTTTCGAGAGATACACTCATTTGCAAATCAATCTGGTTTTCAAGAGAGTGTATTTCTCGAAAGTAGTTCAATTTGGACTCAGGTAGAACATAAGGTTGACGGAAACTCGGGGACTATGCCTACCTGATGAGTCCCAAGAAACCGGTCGTGGGCTGTCGGAGAGTTTTCAGCAACCTTTTGAGTAGTTTCCTTTTTAAAAAATGTACACTCACTATTTCACGTAGGAATAAACCAAACTTGCACACGACGGCAGCCCATGAATGAAGAAAACATCATTTGTCTCATATGTATCGCATCCTCTGAAGGTTAAGTAATTGCAGAGAATCCTTACACATGATCCATTCTGTTGCGGCAAGATTGGGAAACCCGGTGTTACAGTCATATGTTATAACCTCAAAGAAGTGTCAGCGAGGTGTTTATCAGTTAGATTCTTGCATTTTTGACCATTAGGCGATGACAATAAGTGAAGGGCAACATAGGCGGTACGTGCTCTGAACATGCGCTGTTATTATACAAATGCCTAATGGACGAGGAACTATGAGAAAATATTGGGCTGATGTGAACCTTTTTACAGTCAGAAACATCAAAGAACATCGTTTCTTGGGGTTTGAGGTACCCAAAATAACCAGGGGACTTCTTGTCAACGAGGACAATTATGATCGGCATAATTGGTCATTCATGGCGTGTAGAGGGGACATTGTTCGAAATGCAGCATCACCTCTATCTACCCAACGAAACATTTAGAAACCCTTCTCTAATACTAGCCAGCAGATGCTCATGGTAGTGTCAGATAGTGGCTATCCTTTTTGAACTACGACCATTTATCGAATGCGTCTTTACTTACTTACGTCTTTACTTACTTAAATGTTGATCTCCAAGAAAGAGACAGGTTTCCTGTTTTAGAACGTACACGTATGACAGGAACTTAAATATAGGTTTCCTCCAGTTGTTAGCCCCTTAAAGTTGGAAAATTAGCTGGGGTAAAACAAGGGACCTACAGAATTCAGAAAAAAAACAAGTGTATTTCTTCCACGCAACATAGCAAGTCAAGTTTCCGGCGCAGGGATAGAAACATTTTAACCTCAATCACGCGGGACCTCAGGTTTATGGTGGTTCGGCGCGCTGATTGTGTTACACGTTTATTTGAAGATAACTAGGGCCATTCCTTTCAGATCCCGTTCTTTTCAGGCAAATCCATCTGCAGATGTTCCCGTGGATGAATCAGATTGGAGGGCTAATATGGGTCGTCTATCGGTCATTTCCCACGTACCACTTTTCATATGGAATGTTCACTGGTTCTCCCACATTTTCGGTACATTCCGTGAGACTGAAATTCATCGAGGTGTTCTGATGGTCAGGGTTTTTGCATTGATGATGCGCTCATAGAAAATCACCATATGCAGTTGTAGCAGCACCGGTTAGCTTTTCGAATAGGTAATCTACATAGGTGAATCAAGTGTACAAAAGCCGCACCTGTTATGCTAGTTCGGTTATAATCGAAGTTGATCAGTCAGTCACGAGCAGTAGTTGGCGTGACCTCGTTTGAAGTGTAAACAAATAAGCCATCAAGTGCAAACGGGTGTGTAGAAATCAGTCAGCCACACAGCTAGGGTACGCAATTTCAAACGGATGTAATAAAGATGATATTTATTCCCAGTAAGCCGTCAGGGTTCAGGACATTATGAACGGCTTTCCGAGTGCCTGGCTTAACTGTTTAAGATTATAGAGGTATTCAGCAATGTTGCTGTAAGCTTCGAGCGTGCTGGCAAGCTAAAACGAACCGCACTGTTGTTGAATGCTAATTTTAAATCCCCTGTAAAAAAGGAAATTCAGAAAGACTTCAGTCTCTGGTCTTTGTTTCATGGTTGAACTTAATGGCGATCGGGAATATAACAAACGTTCTCTCCACAAATCTTCAGTACCCTTCTGTTATGTAGATGTGACTGACTGCTTTGTGCAGCGAGTATATGAATGAGTGCTTTGTTTTGAAGAGAAACGGCCTGAACATAATGTTTCTTCCTTCCACTGACATGGCGGCGCTTCTGATGTAAAAGCATATACCTAGGCTAGTAAACGATGTTTCGAGTTTTGGACTTCCGTTGATTCAGCCTTTAGCCACTCGACGGCTTCCTGTTGCATTAGCCCATATTTACAGATGAGCTTCGGAATAGATGGTTCGTTTCATCGTGTAACATGGCTGGTCTGCCAACCGAAGTTTTTAATGACATCAGATTTATCACAAGTGGTACACCCATCAAGACCACAAACCCTCAGTCTCTGAAGCCTGTTATAGAGAGAGATTTTAGCTCTTCTTCGCGGAACAGGTTCCATCAAATAGGTAACCGCCTACAGGTGGTACCCCCAGCTGGAAATGCTCCAACTAACGTGTGATATGGGATTTCGCATACCGAAGCATTGAAGGTAGAAACGAATGTTCCTTCCCAGTATGAAAACAGTTAATTGATTCACAGCAACCTACTAGTGCACCATTCACCAAACTGAGGGCATGTTTATGTAAATTTAGATATTTCGCTGTCAAACCATACTGAACAGTGGGTCAACCTCTTTTAGTGGGAATCCAATAGCTAAAGGAGAAGTACATCCAGTGCTTCAAAATATTTCTTTATTGTGCAAGGAATAGTTGAGCCAGAAGCACTTTGGTAACGGCAGTTTTAGGACACAGGCACCAACAGTTACGTTGTTTCCAGAATATCACTGGATTTATCGGCCATACATACTTTTATGTACACTTCATACCCTTATCAGTTTTGCGGATCTTGCTCCACAAAGTGTTGGTCGTAGCAATCCGAGAAAATTTCAAGGACAGATGTATACGGATAGTACTTTCAGGTCTTTCTTAATTAGGCCAGGAGAAAACATTCATTTGCTAGCTATCAGAGCCTTACTCTTCAGTAGTTTAAGCTGTTAAATGCAGCTCAAACTCTGCTAGAGAACTGTATTTGTGAGACTAGGTAGAGTAAGTTAGGATGTCGGTTTTATTCTCAGAATGATATATATGTTGGTATCATCTAAGCGGTCCTATATACATTTAATCAAACGGTATCTACAGGATCTTTTTGTGCTAAGGATCTTTCCAACGGGCAAATGTGTTCGCATTTGCTCAAACTAGACCCGATGTAAGTGCATTGGAAAACACAAGGTTTCTTCTGGAAAAAGAGAATCAACTGCTTAGTAGTACTTTACTTTTCTTGTGTTTAGGAGACAAGAGCTCCATAGGGCCAGGGCGGGTAGGTAGAATAAACTAAAGAATATATGCATGGTTGATGTAATCGTTGTTTATTTAAGTAAAGAGTGAATCGGTGGATCACTTCAGTATTTTATGAGCACCTTTGTGGTCGTATTGTGAAAGGCAGCTTGTGCTCCCCTCCAAAAGGCAATACTGTCAAGTCAGTGATATTCGTTTCCATACAACCAGGCATAACGGTCCAAGTACACCGTAGAGTGTACTTTTCCTCCAAGGAGCGTGTTAGCTTCAACAACCAACAGTCTGTCATTGTAATTGTTACTGAAGCACTATTCATTAGGATTGTTCGTATCCTTTTTGTTACACAACAGTCGTGATGTTCAAAATAAGTCGTCACAATTTATGCTGAAGTATTCAATCGAATATGGAGTAAAACAATAACAATAGTATTCATCAAACTCACTGATTTACTCGCCGTTTCTTCACAATGGTCTCCTGACCACCCTTCCTCACAGTGGCATCTATAGGCGAATTTATCTGTGTACTCCAAACACTTTCCTCCATTGAGACATACTTCAGAAGAGTTTGTTCCCAAAGTTTCACTTCGTTCTTTAGCTGCCTCAAGACAGGCCAATCGTCTTTCGCTGCAGCGGTGACCGGTCCAGGGCTCGGTACAGTTACAACGAAAACTTTCATTATAGATGCCCACGGCATGACATTCACCACCATTTTGACAGGGCAACGTGGAGCACGGATCATAGTCCGGGTAACATTCTGGGCCTGTTTAGAAATCGGAAGTGTGCTGTGTCATATTGTTGAACGTTAAACACAAAACCTAGGAGTAGTGGAGGTTTTCTTGATTTGTAGTAAACCACCCTGATGAACGAAACCGACTGTAAGAAATTCAAAACAATCCTACTCGCAGACAAACGTATATGGAGTAATGATATAGTTTCCAGCAATCTACATAACCCAATTCAGCCGCGTAATACTGATGGAGCCATATATGTCAGGTGATTTGCTACATCCACTTGAGTCCTATCAATTGAAGCTGATTCTTAAGATGTCAACTTCCGCTCGAGTAGTAGTAGTATCAGGCACAAGATGGGCAGTATATTAAGGTAGTATGTAAGAATTGGTCTAACGCCCCTCCGTATTTTCGCAGCACCCCGCCCGATGTCTGGCAGCTTAATGTGGTGCAAGTAAAAGTGTAGTGATTTCAGAAACCAATAGCACTGGATGGCGCATGTTTGGACGCTCAAAGCTCGACTCACCCACTAACTTGGTGGTATATGCAAGCACTTTTCGGCATGTGACTTTTTTGACATCCTGAAGCCCTTAAGCAAGAGCTTGAAGTATTATCCATTGTGTCATATTAGTTCAGCGTTAAATCCTAACATCTGCATTAATGGTGCTTTTTGGGTTATTTTCAAATAACAGAAAACAATATCTTAAACGAAAACATTCCAAAATTTCAGTGCAACCATTAGTACGGTTCTTCTTGCTGAAACGATGAAAAATTTTTCTCTTCCGTTTGAGAGTTGTTAAGCAAGCTAATATAACTTAGGTCGTACCACAGATGACATTCTCCAAGGCATGAAAACTTGAGTGACTGACATCCAAACCGGAGTTTGGTCATCTATTCAACGGCGCGATTTGATTACTGGCGCTAAGAAGAAGGAGTAATAGAATGCAGTATGCACCAACTTAACTGCGGCAATATGGCATACATTATAAAGCTGGTGAGATGATGATGTCGCTCAGATCATGCAAAATACAAATTATACAACCAAGTGCCCTGCATTTTTACGTTTAGTTCTTTCGAGGACAGTTCAAGTGCAGACATCTACCGAGTGAGATAAAAATCGTCCCTGTGTGCTTACAAGACTATCTATGACATGTCACGGAGAAAGTGAGGTACCAACTTTGGTAGATGCCCCTACTTCTTCCGTGTGCTCTCCAGTCTTCAGAGATCGACCGATCAGTTTGGGATTATTCGTCAGGCTATTACGAGTTTTTGATGATGCTGATTTTATTCCAATGGCCAGAAAAAACCTATGATGTCTACAGTACAGGATTTTCAGTATTCCCTGTAGAAAGACATGAGAATAACTGCCAAAGGGTAGAAGTGACTCACTTTCTCGTCCGTTACATACGCAAATTCGTCCTTTCCGATCTTCCCGGTTGTGACACGTCGCATTTCGTGCACACGGTTCAAAGAAACAGGAATCTTCCCTTTCACAATTGGGCCCCGTTAGACCTGAGCCAAAATTAAGTTAACTCTGATGTCAGTCGATGTCACTCTGCTCTCCGTGAAAATATGTGGTGTTTCAAATCAAACAATCCAGGGTTCAGAAAGTGACTGTTATTCATGATGAAACAGCAGCACATATTTTGGAAACCGATGCATTTGATGCAAAACATTCTGTCCCAAGCTTTAGAAGTATACATGATACGATGGTTCGGCCAGATAAGCTGTTTACATTAAGAGGCCGATTCTTAAACGACACTATTCAAGAGGCATGACAGTGGAACATGCGTAACCAACCTGCCTCCGTATATCTTAACTCTGTTAGCATCAAATCTTATCACTTCGGATTTTGATACCTAAGCGATTGAAATATGCAGTTTGTCTCCCCTGAGTCCCGTTAGATAGAGACCGCATCAAAATCAAAAACCCACATTAACCTTTCAGTTTGCTCCGACAGAAAGCAGGTAATTAGGACTAACAGGTGCAACGAGTCAGTCTGTGACCCAATACATCTATGCTAAGACTATGTGTGAAAGCACACTAAGGTGAGTGCTTACAAATATAAATTAATCGGCGCAAGGGAAAGGTGGTTCCTTCCATCATTATTCCAGGAACAAGGCATCCTCTGGCAGGTTAAACAACGTTAAAATTCACATGTTCAATGCTTCCATCATCCTTGTCCTACAGTTTTTGTCCGCATTTCTGTGGGGGATGCCGATGAGGTTCAGTGGACCTGACGCTGGTTTTAATGTTGGGCCTCTCAGTCGAAATGTGGACATCTAAATTTATAGTCTCACGGTGGGAGACAAGTGAGCTAACGTTCAGTGTTCAAGGATACTGAACGTTAGATAGGCAACACTGAGAATATAAGTTTGCCCAAAATTTATATATGCCCGTTAACGAATACCGAAGATTTGTATTTTTGAGGGCTACAATGTAAGCAACATCGGTGAGGGCAATATGCGGCCAACTAAGTGGGATAGACGGATAATATCTTTCGATCATACCAGTATGGGTTTTGAGAAAAAATACCTGAATGTTTCAAAAAATATCTGGTGCCTGGTGGTCTCTACCCAACTTCCATTGCTTTTCCCATCTATCATCAGTTTCACGAACGGCGAACAGATCCACAAAAAGAAGTAGACTCACAAATCGTTGTTGAATTGCCCACTTCGAGATTTTACCCATAAGATGTTGGCTTCCAAATTGTGGTAGGTCATGCCTCCTTCATTTCTGGGTCCAAATATGTAGCTGCCACTTTATAAAAATAAACAAGTCTTAATGATTGGTCGTTAAACTGTTGATGTTACATGTCTAGCTGTTTTGGACATCCACAACTCCAGTTCACACCCTACCTCTTTTGCACTAGCTTTAATCGTCTGCTGGAATAAGGATTGAGACTCCACATCTTCATCCAATTTGAAAAATTTGGCAAAAGATGGTTGAGATATTTTTCCTGCTTATATGACCGAAATCGGCATGCAGCATCCTGGTTTGCTTGACGGAAGCCCATTTCTTCACTAATCTTTTCAGAGAATAAAATACGTGTGCGCTTGTCAGATGTGTATGTTGATTACGAATAATCTCATATGTTTACTTGAATATAAAGATGTTCACGTTCTTGATACTTGGCTTTGAGTTGTCTACACATGGAACTAAGATTCCCGTTTAACGGTAGCCCGTTCAGTATAGCGAGTGTTTTTCGCGCAGATAAACTGCACACTTATCATTTATTCTCTAAATATGTGGCTCTGATATCGTTAGTGAAATGACAACGGGTTGAATGTTAGTTTCCTTCCGTGATGCAAGCTACGGGGGACACATATTACTCCATTGTTGTCTTACTGGAATTCCAGACTGACACTGGACGACTTATCATGAATCCACATGCACTGGCCATCCACATGCAATACTCCACTAGGCTTTGCATCCCTCTTTGCCGTGTTGGTTGACTGATCTAAAGAGGGCGGTCCAAGCCAAAAGAGGAAGAATTTAAGTTGCTAGTGTAGTTATAGTCGAAGCGGCTGCGCACAGTATAGTGTGAGCCCATTAGAGAAAGAAGTATCCCTGACAGACGAACGTTGGATACTGGAAGTCTGCTTGAATGGATACTTTAGTGTAACTGAGAAAAACAATTCAGGTGAAAGGTGTCTCCCGATACCCTCTTGTCACATTCTTGGTCATTTACTAAGTTGGAGGGATCCCATGAGGACAGCTGCGCCCACATAGTACGACTCAATCTATGCTCTTCCGGATGAGCCTGTGAATCCGATGCAAACACGGAGGAGTAAGACAAACTAGCGGGAGTCTGCTGGGAGCCACCATCTGACCTAAGCATAATCATGCAGCCATTTATGAGCAGTTCGGTGTTATGTAAATTTATCTACCTGTATTATTCAGCAACAGCTGTAAACTGAGGTGATGTGCATAGACTCAAATGTATAGCGAGAAAAACCACTGAATAAAAAACTCATTCGTGGAATGCCACTGGTGATGGACTTCTTGGTCACCACTGAGTAGGTTTGACAGTGTGGTTAGCCAGGTTACATAGGTTGATACTCATAGGAATAATGTGTATCGTGTTCTAGGTTGACAGTGTATTCAGTTGTACCTCAGTTTACACAATGCTGGATAAGTCTCACTACGATGAGCTTCTGAAGAAAAAGTTGAAGACATGGTTAACACTCGCCCAATATGGTGTGTTGTAAACACCTGCTGAATCGGAGACGTTATTGGCCTACTATGCTCTGAAGTAACTTTGCCCGGCGTAACATACATGCAAAAGATGTTCCTCAAATCCATCAGGAAGAATGTAAAACCAAATGTGAATTCAGGCTGTCGTGGGAATATGTTTCTCACCTCCAGGTGCACACCAGCTGTTTGGTCGCTAGTGGGAGAACACTGAGAAATAGTGAATTACTTTTATACTTTCACTAAGTTTACGGAATTCAGTGGTTTAGAATGACGCATTTTCGTTGAGAAATTAGAGAGTAAAATGAAAGATAAGTAACACTTTTGTGAATATGAACGTCTCCGTTGCACTAACCACTCCCAGTATAAAATCATGCTGAATCGGCCGAAAACGGTTACCGACCAATTTTCAGTGACTAAGAAAACCTTCACTGGTGCGCAAAATGATATTTATCTTATTGAGATATTAATGTATTACCTTAATTAGCTCATGTGTTTACGTAATGCGCTACTCATAAAGTTGATGTGTTCCTTTATGTCCCTTTGATTTCAGACATCTCTCAGTAGTGCAATTTCTCTGACTTACGTCACCACCTTCGTTGCCGTCGCAATGGCTTGTTGGAACCCAATGAGTGTCGCTCTTTCCATTTGCCTTCAGCTACGTTTTTCCAACGGGAACTATCGGTCGAATGAACGTAGTTCAACCACTCGAACACGGCTTCAATTAGTCACCAAACGGAACGGAAATGTAAGAACAGTAGCAACTATGACGTGCGTTTTTCTTCTCATTCAATAGATTGGAGCAATCACAACGAAGCATGGCCTTGTCCATACATACAGTATATGCGTACCATGAATGGCTCGGGGAAGAAGCATGTGGTTGATCAGAGAATAAGGTTGAATTTGCCACCGACCATTTCGCAAAGTAGATAGACCAGCCATTGGATCTGCTGAATAGAAACTAACGTACGTGCTGTGCATAAGCTCCGCTGATAAGAATAGTACTTGCTCATGAATGGATACTTCGGGAAGTTTGCCCAAAGGCCGCATGTTTGATAGCTTCGAACGAATTGTCCACATACCGGCAAGAACTTGCACTATGAAAGCTTGCTCTTAGTTGGGTGCACATGTTTGTAGGGTACACATTATTTCATTGGTGCCATCCGTTTTGCTGTCTTCTCCGGTATGTGATTGTGAGCCGACTAGTGAGCATCGAGTTTTCAAGTCTCCTGTCTCTGGGGCGTAACAGTTCACTGGTGCAACTAAGACAGGCAATCTTAAATGTTCGTCTTGAAAATGAGATACAGACAAACCTGCCTCATGGCAAGAAGTGGGTCCCCTTCTTTTCATCTCTATGGGAACAAGTAATCAAACTGTCGTCACCACCTGCAACCGATCGAAACCTGTCGACCCTCCGTTCCGTCAGTCTTTTGTGTCCAGTTAAAATACCTGTGCGTCCACTATTGATGTTAAGTTGGTATACCATTTGATCCAGCTCAGACTGTTCTTAAGGTGAGCAAACCAAAGCATAGCATTTTGGTTTGCCCTACCCAGTCGCGTCGGTGTATTTTCATACCCAGGTGATAGAAGGATTGACCTGCTGATTCGCGTTTGTCTACTCGGATACACGGGGAGGGGGCAAAATCGGCTATTCGGATGAAATGGTGCACAGCTAGTATAGAGCCGGAAAACTCTTCTAACTGCTCGGATTTTATACAGCTGCGTGCAAAGTTGAAGGTCTTGTTCAAATATAAATGATCAGTTCAAAAATATAAACCTAATTTGGTATTTAAATTTTTGCGTAATACATTACTGCCGTACTAGAAGAAATGATAATTATACACAGAAATTTCTAAGTTTTCCATTTGATTTTGTCCGATTGATTTATTGTCCAGTGTATTTGATCCTAATTACCTTTAAATCAGGCGGATACTTGCCAAGGTTGATGTGTCACGGTGAAAACAATTGCTCACCTGGAAAACAGATCTTGTTCCCGTTTATGTCGCACTCGAACTTGAACGGAACTGGATTGCATTCAACCATGCAGTGGTTACCGTAAAAATGCTCCATGCAATTCAGTTTCATTGTGACTTTCAAACTAGAGATTAAATGAACAACTTGATAGAACACCATTGCACTCGATATACGGGACATCAAATCATGAGGATGTGAATTATTAAACACAAGAATATCGGACTAAACTCTTCATAGAAACAGCCCATTGGGAAAATCCAACAAAAAGTACCAAAAAAGATAGGTAATTTTAGTGGATGAACCGTTCGGTAAGGTGAACGGCGTTGTATTTTCGGTTCCATTCCTTAAAATGGTTAACGAAAATTTGATTGTCTGTTCATCAGGGGCCATTCGGCCTCCTCCAGACTAAATCAAAGAATCTTTTAAGGTGAGGAATTAAGTTCTGGAAATCGCTTAAAATGCACATTGCAGGAAATTGTCGAAATTACTTGTGCATTCAGTTTACTTCCAGGGGAATTTTGCACTGAATCATACGATTGAAGATTTTTCGATAATCTTCAAGTAAGTGCCCTGCCTGCCTATAGAAAGGACACTCTTGAGGAAATACTGCAGAAACACACTATAACCACAACTTATTCTAAAGCAAATTTCCTGCCCCTAAACCGCATAACCATAAGGATCTTCAGAGTCTGGATATTCCATTTTTCCAGGTTTTGGTCTTTCAATTTCGACAGTCTAAATCCATCAAAAGTATTTGCAAGTAGGCTGTTTATGTTCCGATCTTAGTCGCATTCCGTTCAGGCTTTTAATTAACTCTACCAAGTGTAATTTGGTGCTTCAGGAAACCCTTGGGTGAATTCGCAGTGAATTTGCAGTGAACTCGGATATAATTTGGGCACAGGAACCCATAACTTTGCAGTGGGGCATATCACTAATGAATTGCCTATTTCTTCTGCGTAACCGGAATCACCAAAACATACGGAACAAAGACTGAAATAAAGCGCTACATTTTACACCAGTGGTTTCAAGACATTTGGCTCATTGCTGACCCTATAGTCCGCTTTTTAAGCCGTTTTTTATGGGAATATTTTAAGCAGCACATTTAGCAAAGGTGAAGCAGAAGATTTAGGTTTATACAATGATGTAAAATGTTATAATTATAGTGCCCACTTTAGCCAATAACAAGATTGGACCAATGCCTTTCAGAAAACAAAATCGCCTTTGCCGTCAGGCGCGGTTTTAACCGTGGTTTCTACAGTGACAGACTACTTAGGAAGAAAAGCCTAATGCCCGATTTTACCGTAGTGCTCTTCTAGAGAACTACTGTACACAAAAATATGACTAAACATTCCGTTTTTCGGTGGACGAACATCAGAATACGTTTTTCGAAAACGGTAAAACAATCTGTCAGATAACATTGAGTCCTGGTTAGTAACGATTTCGGTCTATTCGCTCCATTAGGACACCGGGTTATCGGCGTAACCTAAGTTTGATCACTTGACCAAGTCCCACTTTTATCGACCGCAGTCGTAGTTCACTTATTAGTCTATCCCTAAAACGGAATTTCTGTGACTAAGGATAATTAAGGAAGTAAAACTGGCTACTTGAGATACGGCGTCGTGAAACAGAACGCTTGCGTTCACATGGATGCATTCCGACCAAATCCGATACTATCTAGTAGAAATAGTAAAGCGTGCGTAAACACTGAAAACTTGTCCAATTTAGCGAGCGGACAGATGCAGTCTGTTTTGTTCTGGGATTCTGCCATAAGTGCTAGCTGGGTTCTGAGGATGACAAAATAATGTGGCATTTCGACAATTGGGGTAGCATACGTGTCTCTAGTAGTAAACACATCATCATTGTCCCAGAGTGCTCTTCATTCCCTACGTCACTCCTCTATGCCACCAGTCGCCTCATTCAAACATCAGAGCCCTACATATTTAAAACATTCTGTTTCATTTACCGTGAATTCACCAAATAATTCAGCGTTTTTTCCTGTCCCTTATGTTTGGCCACCATGACCACCACTTTGGGGGAACCGTTTTGCATGATTGGAATATCTGAAGCTGACGACTAGAATAAGGTTTTCTTGCGAAAATGATTATTCAGTAATACTTTGAGTTTCAGAAGAGTTGATAAGGCAGTTTTTCTGCCTTTTCAAAAACTGCTCCTCGGTGATGACAAGTTTGAATCTCTTAGGCAAATTATCTCATATTCAGGGAATCTTGTTTTTGACCTAAGTGGGTTTAAACAAGTTGTAACGAAGGTCTACAGGAACAACTTACCTGAGCTTTGGATTTTTTTTGTGCGGGCTCACATTTACCATATCAATAGTCTTCCAACCTGCGTTTGGTGTTATATGAATATTTTCAGCAATGAAGTTCCCAATTATTTCGTAGGTCGGGAAGTAATCCTCGTCACGAATACTCATTTCGAAAGTGTAGGAATTCTAAAAAGAAACAAAAGGCTGTATTGTGTCACGAGATAAGGTCAACAGGAACTTCGTTGCAAAGGACTGATGATCTACCGGGGAAAAAACTGGAGACGCGCCTTTAGTAAAGTTAAAGGACCAAAAGCGGCTTTGGTATTTTTACCAACTGGAGGATAAATGGGGTATTCAACTGGGAAAACCTTCGGCCATATTGAAGAAAATTTGATAGTTTGAGCTCCCGATTAGGTTTTGATGATTATAATCACAAGAGAACAGTGGCTAGATGTATGTAGAAGACATTGTCTATACATAGGGTTGCAAATTATTCAGTTATATTACCCAGGTTAATGAGATACCATCTGGCAGGGCACAGCTGGTGTGACATTTAAGGCCAAAACGGCCGGTATGCTTTTTGTCTGAAGTTATGAACTCCAAGGCGTTCCGCTCGAGCTGCTTCTCAGACCGTGACTGGATAATGAACAACCTATCTGATAGTATGCATCCGGGTGGAGTTGATCTTGTACTAACCAATCTGCGATGTTTGCATAAAGAATCTAGGCATCTACAGCCTTAATAACTGATCAAAACATATGATAAACCTGGTGGGAGTCAAGCCTGTCGACGAACTGATCAGGCTCCTTTAAAACCTTATAGAAGTGGTTCTTAGCAGCCATGACTTACCGGTACTGGTCGGGGGATGGTTAGCTTGATTGCCGCATCTCCAGTCACGCTAAACTGATCAGTATTTTCATGGGTCCGAGTCACATGCTGCAACAGGTGGCACCTTTCATTTGACCTGCGGATCAAAATTAACATGAGACCATAGGCCCAAACAATGAAAATTTTGCTGCCAAGGCGTAAAGTGGCATTCCGAGGTTGTTGACTATTGCAATTGATGAATGCTACGTATGCCTTAGGTTTTTTGAAACCCATAATGGCTTTGATAAATTAATAGTCTTCCAAATTCTCGGAAAACGGCACATCTGTTAGAGATGATAATTTGCGTTTGAAAAATCCGCTCGTTCAAGTGTTTCAAAGCAATTTGGGTCAGCCTGGTAACGGCTAACTGGCACACGTATATGAGTGGATAACAGCGAGTTGAAAAACATATGAGCTCGAAACAGCTGAGTGATTAAAGTGCGAGTTTACAGAATTACTTTCTGGTTCTAATCCACTGACGTCATCTGAACTGCTGCTGTCTGAGCTTTGGTAATCTGGCAGCATTTTAACCGTAGTTCTTGCTTCCGGTCGCATGGCAGCCACGCTGAACGATTACTTTTATATTTCATTATAGTCTAGCAGTTCGAGTGGACTCAAAACGGCACATTGTGTGTACTTTTTAACCATAAGCCGTGTAATTATTCGGTGAGTTTATTTGTATCGATTAGGTGTTGCTAGCACCAAGTCACCATTCTTTTACTGCACAAAAGTGACCGCAGTATAGGTGAATTCCGTTGCGGCCGATTTACCACAAAGAGTTATATTTTCAAGCCACGTTGTTCAATAACCTAACAATTTCATGGACGTTACTTGACCTCGAGTAAACAAAAACTGACAGCCTGATTCCATTACTTGATTTGGCTAGCGTGTGCAGTGTAAGTTCACATTTCGGTATCAGGCTGTTTTAGAAGACAGTAACCAAGTGGATATAATTAGTTGAGTTGATTTTTATTCCGCTTCATGGTTGGGTTGATGGTGGCCCTATTTTTGTTATTAATGCATCGGGTACAATCCTATTAAATGAGGAAACCTAAAAACAACCAAGAATTGTAAGATCTTCGGTGCGCACATTTTTCGCAAAATGTTGGCAACAAAAGATTTCGTTTGCTGAGGAAATGTTCGCACACTTGTGTGTGTTGAACACTGAACGCAACAGAAAAATATCATATTGTACCGCTGAAAATGTTTCGCTTGATTTAGTGATTTTCATGGATTTCGTGGGACAGCCTTTTAGACTACTTCATGTTTCCCCATGTCAGATTGAATCCTCCTTGCCAAGCAACAGAATAATGTATGCCAGTTAACTGGTACATTTCAGCATTGCACAGAGAGTCATCAGCTTCCACATTTCCTTATATCCTTATCCTGAAGACACGTTTGGCAGGCTCGCCAAAGTCAGCTTCAGTTTTATTGTCCCGAAAGATCAGTCTGCCTGCCTGGGAGCCAATACAAATCAGGTTTGAGTGATCATCAGAGTTATAGTGGCTGATAAAGAACAACTGAAAACTTTTGCGCTTGGGACTGGATTGGGCTAACCACGTTTAAATGTGATCAGTAGTTCAGTCTTTTCAACATGGGTGAATCACCTCCTACTTGCTTTTTATGGCAGAATATTTTTGTACTGATTCAGAGGTTGGATAATTAATGGCAGATGGAAATGGGAAAAGGATTACTGAATAAATAATGTCACCACTGCCCTCAGTTATAAGCACTTTGAGGAGAAAATTTCATTTTATAGGAAGATCAGCCTAGTAACATATTTTTCTGATCCAATGAGTTGGCTAGTTTGGGGAATGTTTCTCAGATTGCAGCGTATATTCACTGGGACCTGTTTTATATTGTGCAAAATTTCCGAGCCCTCGTCCAACAAGGTTACCCGTCTCACCATTATCATCATCATCATCATCATCATCGATAAATCCAGAAACAATATTTCATCCATAACTAATGGGATACAGTTAGTTATTCTGCCAAACCTCATCCAGTGCTGGCTGAAGATATGTCAGTAGTCAGTGAGAGTCAAATCTTAATCAATTGCTCGAGTGCACTCCACACTTCCATCCCAATCAAAGGAATATTTTTTAAGTTCCTTTTTTCCAAAAAAACTATTCAGAAGATAGCGTCCAAAACTATTACTTTCTAATGTGTAATCAGAGTAAGAATACCTACCTACCTACCTACCAAAAATAAGGTGAACATTATTTGAAGAGGATATCAGGATTAATAAGATGACTTTCGGCCTTTAAAGTGGATGAACATCGCCCCACCGTCGACACATTTAGTCAAACAAACACCATCCCTCTTGATTGACACGTAAAAGCGTAGAACGCCCATGACCTGCTCCTCTCCTCCTCTACTTGTAACTAAACTTCATTTTTTGTTCTGTTGAAGTGAGACCGTCAAACTATAATAGTTGCTTACGTCACTACTTTTAGCAGTTTCAGCAAGATGATTCAGTGACTGGATGGAAACGCCTGATTAAACCAAGACAGAAATGTTGAGTTGTTATTTATTGATACAACGTCGGTGATATCTCACTTAGTCTGTTAAACTGCCTTCTATCTGACAGGAATCGTTTATTTAACGCAAAGACCTTTGTCGGTCGATAATATAACTGCATTTACCACACTGTGTTGAATACATTAACTGCTAGTCATGCTATCGATCGAACGGCTGACTACACGAGCAAAAGAACGCCTGCACTACAATAGTCTGCGATACTTTGGATTCAAGTAGAAATTGGGTTCTGTGACTTATAGTTTTGATTATTGCACTGCCTGTTCGTCTACTTCAGTTGTTCGCTTTTGGAAGATCGGCTTACACTCATTTGTCGATATCTACCGGTCCACATCACTTTATTTAGGTGGCACGTACAGCTTAGATGGTCTAACGATCTTGCCGCTGTTTCCATGCTCGTGACAAGTGATCTTAAATAACCTGAATGGAAGACGAACAATCACCTTGTCCTTGGGTCTTATTGCTGATCGAGGTGAAAGGGGGTAATACTATAATCTCCACTGGGGAGTCCTCCGCTTTGTGCAGACAGCTTGCACATCAGCCGGAATAAACGACTGAACTGCCAAGGACCTGTTGTACATATTTCGGATATCCCCAATGCCCTTAGATGTGGTGTCACTACTAAAAGATAGTGAGGTTTGCGCTCTTAGTTTGAAGCTGTATGGTAGCCATTCTGGGTAACAGTTCTCATACGGATTTTTCTGAACACTTGTTTCTATTAAATTACTGATCTTAAGTTCCCTCATAGCAACGTTTTTCAACTGTACGCCAAGTGTATATAATGTCCCCTCGATTAGTGGGGGTTCATTAGCAGGCTAGTTGCCAACGTCAGTGAACGAATAAACAGCCAACAGAGCAGACACCTGTAAATGCAACCCGTTAAGAGTGACTAAACGAGTGTCAAATATTCCATCTTCATTCTGTTAATTTATACTGTTCAACGGTAATCGCATCTATGAAGACTAGTCATTTGAAACCATATCCAAGAGTGTAACAGGCCGTTCACCTTAAGTATTGGACAGCTTGTAACATAAGGAAAAACACAAAACCAGTTAATATTATTGAAATTCAGAAGAAAGTCCTGCAAACAATCCAGAGTTTCTGACGGAAAACAGCGCTAGTCTCGTACTCACATGATTAATCATATGTCTTAGCAGTGCCGATCGTATGTCGATCATAAAATGTTCATTTTCGGCAAGTCATGATAAGTTTGGAAATCTGAGTGCCTCAGGTATTCAAGGGTCAAAATCTTTTCATTCAGGTAGTTAAATTACTACTTTTGAGAACTGATCATGTGCAAGCACCTAGGTTTCAGTGACCTAGAGCAAATGCAGTTCAGTCATCGCCATATTCATTCTAGGCTACCAGTTAGACATTGATTCCTCAGTTGGAACAGACTAAAGTAGTTTAGTCCCGTCCATTGTCAGTGTCTTGATACCTCGAATTACATTTAGTCTTTTGTATGCGAAAGCTGCTGCGATAACCTTGAAAGTACTTTCTTGCCAAACTTGTCACCAACATTAATAGGAGTACTTAAAGTTACCTACTTTGATGCCCGGATGTATCTAGTCGCATGGTTTAGTTTAAACGAGATACTTGTGCTTTATAATAAAATCACTGAATACTATAGCTTCCCGTCGTATTTATTTTCACGTTGATGATGCTGGGATTCGGGATCAAAGGACTTGATGAAGACTCTGTCGGTGTAACAAAATATTTACAAAATCTTATGTGAATCCTGGGTTTGTTCCTCGAATCAGGTTTTATAGCTGATAGATCACGACAAACGGCTATTTTGAAACAAGCAAGCATGCGAGAATATTAAAAACAGCAACGTGCTATTTTGGAAAAAACATTCACCTGTTATATTCTGAATTGTTCAAATGATTTTGTGACTAGTTTTTGTTGTTTGCAGTGCGAAGGAAAAATAAAATAACTTTGACATAAAAGACAGTTTGAAGTTTTTTATCCAAATGTGGTGCCCTGTGTGCTTATAACAAAAAACCTTAACTCAAAGTCCGATCGTATTTTTGGCTGGAAACATTCAATCCGAATTAACGTTCCTACTGACTAATAGCTGTGAAGATTGTTGACTTATTAGGTCCCAAAAACTAGGACTTTCAACTGGGGAAGACCAATACGCAATTCTTCATTTTTCTGAAGTAGTTCCATGTTGTTTGCAGTGTCTAGCGATCAGAATATTTCTATGCGCTTCAGAGACATTGCTTGGTCCACATTTTGCCTATTTATCACACCTTTGATATCCACAATGCTCCATTCGGCAACGCAAGTTAATTTAATGATTTCTTTCATCCAAATGCTTTTACCGACATCCTGTTGTCCTCAAGCCAGCTTTACTCGCCCTACAACGCAAATGGTAACTCCCGGCTACGCCGTTGGGCTGTTAAGTTACTGTGGTGTTACAACGTAGCCAAGGCCAATGCCAGTATCATTCAATGACCCCCAGACCATTAAAATCCAATAGGGTCGATAAATAAAATTTCGCCTCTCTTCCACCACAAGTATAATGGAACGAAGCTATATGTTTCATAAAGTATCTCTGAATTTGATTTTACTTAGACTTCTTGGTCCTGACTGCACCCGTACCACTTATGTCCTGGTCGACATTTGCCAAGATAACATACTGTCTCTAGGACATTCAGTAAAGATGATGGGGTCCTGTCAAGAGACAGGACGAATCAGGTACTACAGGCCGAATAATGGTGCTGCTTGCTGAGGTCAGATGGTTTGAAGGTGTGGTTTCGCTTCTAAAATAACAGTAATGACAACAAGTTTGACGACTTTTTGTCAAACTTTAGCTACTAATTAACTTTAATTGACGGTGTACACGGTACGGACTGTCATATCTGGCTTGTACGGTAAAGTCTGACGGTTGTATACGCTAGGCATCAGGGTTGACACTTACTCTAGTATGTTATATGTCGACATCTGAATCGCTGTTGTAAAATCCTCCCATGTTTTGATACCGACATTAGTATATACGTCAAGTGCGCTGTTTGTTTAACGGAATCCATTGCGCAACATTCCCTCGGAAAAGCAAGGTTTCACAGTAGTCAAAAACGCTTGCAAACAATCTTAGTTTATTAGAGCAAGCCCTATTCAGCGAGCTTTGGAATATTTGTGGCATCCATCTACTTTTAAATGGTCATCTTCCGGAAAATCGTGAAGTTCTGTGGCAAGGCGCGTGCTTCTCCCACTGCAATCTGCCTGTTTTCAAACTATACTCTCATAAAACGCACCAGAAATTGCGATATTAATGGAATTCCTAATTCTCTGCTGGGTATTGTTGCGGCGATGCAGCAATTGCTATCTGACGTGGTGTAGGTTGACCTCCCACCAGTTTTGAAGACCTGCTCCGATGGATGGGTGATAGGTTCTGAAACTGTCTGGGTTGCACCGCAACCAATCCCGTTTGTCGTAGTAGCATTCCGGCAAGCTGTCTTCTGGAGTCTTCCCACTTTGTTGGATTATGACTCCCATGAATGACCGGAGCAGTTTTGAATAAGGCGCTTGAAATGAGTTACATTTCACAGGAAATGCCTCAGGAGTGTCCAGCCGTCATTCAGTTTGAACTTACCAATTTGGACATTGCATACTTTTCTTTAGGTGAAGCCGGTGAAGAGCCGCAATACCAAAATGGGTCTTTTCTATTGAATATTTTCACGTAGTTGTTTAGCATGAACTGTTCTTAGAGTCATACCGTAGAACATATGGTCTGCTTTCTCATATTCTTCCAGGTCATCTCTCTCAGCATTACAACTGTTCTCCTCTTCCCCTACCCTTGCACACCGGAGCGGGATAGAACGGGGCGTAGGTGTCGTTATCAATAAAGCTCATTGTCTGTGCCATATTCTTGTCCTGGATAAATTTGAACCCAGGGCGTCTCACATACGAGGTGAACGTGTTGATATCACATTCCATCATCGTGTGCTTGACTCATTGTCATATCTGTGCAGCTGAAGAAGATCATGAATCAGTGACGTAATAAACGCCTAGGAAGACACTGCAGTAATTTTGTGGGCTCGTCGGTTGACTATTTCACCTGCCGAGAATTCCCAATGAGGTAGTGAAACTGACGTTGTACAATTAGACGAATAGTACGACACACTCTATGAGCCCCAACAATTACGAAACTTGCATCCGTTGGTTTTGATCAGTCAGGATAATTGAGTTAGATCAGGAGGACTTTCCAGATTAGAGTTATCCGGAAACAAATCTAAAAAAACTATAAAAAAAATCACATTTATCTACCATCCTCCGTCAATTTGCGGTCCTCAAATATATTACCACTTTGACTGCTTGCAGCGCATATTAGTAGTTCCTGAACTATTGAGATAAAATCTTAACTTTACCGCTTTTGCTGAATTATTTGTAATGCGGTAACTTACACTAAGAATTATCGACTTTTACTCATTTTTCCTGACAAGGACAAAAGCTTTTGATTTCGTGCATTTGTTAGCCTTTAAAATAAAACAACTTTTTATATAACAGCACTGAACAGGACGGTGTGAGTCTACACAATGAAGTTATTGTTGGGTTGGTGACCGCCATGAACAAGTACTAGGTTTCAGGGGGTTATCTGCAGACGCTCAGCGCAGCTGTTGCTCGCGATACAGATTATTAGCTATTCTCGTTGGTTATGGGACACAGTGAAGGATGAGGCTATGCTTATTTTGAAACCACAGAGCCTTCAAAGAGGCCCATGTGGTACCATACGCTAACTTACAGGGAGGCAGCGTTTCGCAGACATAGTTCAAAGTAAACATCGCACTGGCTGTTCAGATGTCGATCGCAGGTGTTCCCATTGTCCAGCCTGGATTCCGGATTTGAATAGCTCCATTCGATTTGGAGAACACCACCTCCGGTAGACTAAAACAGATGGAAAACATTATTATGAGTGTAGCGCTTTCTTCATCGAACCACACTTCATGGGCTATTGCCAATAATAGCGGAAAACCAAACATTCATCCAGGAACGCTTTTATTCTTGACATTCTGACACCTTCACAAGCAACATAGGGTTTCGGTTGAGATATCGGAAAACGGTTCCGGTTCTTTCTTAGTTTAATTACGGGAAACAGTATAAGTGAAAAGGTTGAATATGAATCACGGGATATTTTTACCTAGTTCCTATGTATTGCTCACCATGTGTTGCCATTCGGAGGCGGAAACATCAGGAATAATGTGAAAGTGAAATATGGCCGGGAATGGAACATAGTATGCGTGATACCACGGACAGCTACACAGTTCGTCAAAAATGTACGTATAGATGTGATATCGAAGTGTCTTGAATATACAACAAGAAAACCCATAAAACACACTATCCATACGAAAAAAGAGCTTAAAACAAGGGCAGTTGAACATTAACGTCATCCAGCAGAATCGTCCTTCACAGTTATTTAGCCTGGAGAGTTTGGCTAAGCATGGTGAATGAAAGACTGTTGCATGGCCCTTCCGGTGATAAACGACAGATTATCATATTCAAAATGTGAGTGTTTCAGGTGTATTGGATTTAGTATATTGAATGGTCTTAGGGTGTTTTACCGTTATCCGTCAAAGCATTCAGAGCCTGTCAACCCGCCATCGCAAACTCTCCACCAGATTCATACGAACAAAGAATTGTTTATTCTGGTCATGGATGAAAGGTTCCCCACTGCATTAGTCAGTGAGACAGAATGGGTTAAGAAAATGAAATAGGATTCTAAGGACAGGAATAGAGTTGCTGCAAATCCAGGTGATAAAACAACGCTGTAAAAATTAGAGGCAGACATAAATTTCCAACCCAAAACATGGGTGAGATATTGGTCTCCCGTTCCATCATCGTCGATGGAACCAGTTCCACTTAGCTGTACAGACTACCAGTGAAAGGAAGAAGGCCTTCGCTGTGGAGTTATTTATTCGGAAACTGACCGGTTACAAACCATTGAACAAGGAAGCAAAACTCTAATCTGCATCTTAGTTACAAAACCTGGACACATATCTTCTCCCGAACGAGTCTTCCTGGAGATTCATTGCCTCCAATCATTCGTCGGTCAAATAAAAACAAATGTTACAAAGTGGCCCCGTGAATTTCGCAACAGAATACCATTTTTCAATCGACGCAAAGCGAAATTCTACGAACAACACATACTAATGCTGTGCCTCCCGATCAGTAGTATCACAGTTACACCAGGGTTGTATGAAAGACGATGATATGTGTAATGATGATGATGATGATGATGATGATGATGATGATGTGTAATCAACACATAACAGCATAACCTGTCGGAATAGCTCTTTGGTGTACTCATCTGGCAAAAGTTTACGTGATTTTAAATCAGAAGCATTTTCCATTTTACACAACATTTAGTGGGTGATAATAGATTACGTCAGTACTTGACTTGACATACAGTCATTGTGACCTTCATTCAAAAAAAGGGTAGGCAGTTTATGTTTGACGGTTCATTGTACAGAAGACTAAATGGAATTTCATTAGGCAATACTCTACCCATAAGTCCGTAGATGTTTCGTGGCACGTGTCGGTAGTAGAGCGAGAAATGGGAGATGGATAATATCATTATGGTCGCCAGGTGATTTATTGGTTTATCAACTGCGGTGGCTGTGAATACTGCAAGCAGAAATATATTTACGATAAAAACTGAGAAAGCGCAGTTGGGCGCAGTCTGCTAGTCGTCCACGCTGGGATTTCGCTGTGCACTGACTGTGCTTTCGACTTGTGTCCAAAGCTCACTTCCAAACACCATTTCACAAAAGTGACCAACATACTGCTGGTTACAACCTACAGGTGTGGGAACAGTGGAGGTTTTTTGTTGAAGGCACGGGTTCTTGGCCTGAAGAGACCAGTAGCGCCCCTGTAAATGGTGTGTTAATAAATCTCGCAAATCGGTTGAGACTGTATGCGCTAAAACTTGTGTCTATAGCAAAGTTTGGATAGACTAGATTTGGTGGAGTCTTCGGAACCATGACTGAACCATTGGAGTACCACCCTCACAGGTAAAAGCCGGCCCGTTTTGTTTTATTTATTATGGGGCAGCAGCTTACCTGTATCTGGTTCACCCCATAACTCTTCGTTATGTACAACCGAACTAGAACACGTGATAAAGTTCTATTTTTTATATTTAGTTGTCAACTTAAGTTTTGTACTATTGGCGTTCAAGCCGAAAAACTAAGGATTTTCGTGCTGACGTTTTGATTTAAGGAAAGCAACTGAGTAAATAATAGTTGATACTCAACTTCAAAATTATACTGAAGTGTGGACATTAATTCTTAGGAATTTAGCTTTGGTATTTCGTCACACAGTGACAAACAGGAGTACGAATATGTGTTTTATGCAGAATTGCGTGTTTATATTAGTTAACTATAGACAGAAGACATGACGGCAAGAGCACATGAAGAACAAACTGATTACCGTACAGTTACCCATGAATAGAGACAGGGTGTGGACCATCTAAGTGTTCCACAAAAAATATTTTCACCTGTACGCTCTAACGTCTTGTTTACACTACCAAATGTTTATTTGTGGGAACAGGAATCCGGGAGATGCACCATCTGAACTCTGTTTGCATCTATCCACATGGATTTTTCCATTCTAACTGTTTTGGTCGAGTGACAGTGGGCCACTGGTGTCGAAAATGGTGTTACACCCAATCGCAATGATGTGAACACTAGTGATTATGATGGGTGTGACGACGCTTGGAAGACTGTGGTGGCAATAATATCAGTAGTGTTGATAATATGTGATGACGGTGATGGATTGAGTGTTCTGCGTTCAAATGTTAACTGAGGAAAAAGTGTAAACAATCACAGGATAAGCACGTAGGAAGAGCGTTCGTACTCAAGAGCAAAACGATTTTCCTGCTTCACTTACTACACTCATTTGAAAGCTAATGTGGTCTTTACCAGGTGATTGAAATGGATCACAACGGAATCTCTCGCTTGTGATATTTCCACCTGAATATGCCACACAAAAACAACTTCATATTAAAACCCAGAAATAGCCTGTAAATGAGTGTATTCCGTAAAATGCTTGGGGATTTGGCTCAAGTAGAGTTTAAGATTGACGGATACTCTGGAACCGCTCCTAGGTGATGGCCTTAAGTGAGAAAAGGTCGTCAGCTGTCGAAGAGTTCTCAGTGACCTCATAATTAGTGTTGCATTAATCATAATTGTATACTCATAAAGGAAACCAGCCATTTTGTTTTGAATATAAATATACAAATTAGGCCTGAGTTTGTCATGTTGTCTACGGCGTTGATACGCACACAATAAACTTTGTAATCGGGTAATCAACGAAGTTTCAAGAATATTCGTGTTGAAGGTCATCACAGGCCTACGAATTCGGCATTTACATATCTGGCCTTACAGGTGTCGGATTCAGCCCACTTTGAAAGAGTTTCCAAGATTCAAATTCAGTCTGAAATTCAAAACCCAATCTAATATAGCAAAATATGTTACCACACGTATGCAGGGTATCTTCTTGGACACTACTGAGATACCTGCTGCTAAATTTTCACAAGCTACTGCCTTTAGTCAGTTCCATACTAGATTTAAATATCCCATTTTGATTGTACGGCAAGACGTTTATCGTACAAACTGCATTCCGGCATTTCTGTTTGTTGACTGAGGGCAACTGTGGTTCCAACTGCAGTGACGTCCTCCAAAGCGCATAAGTTGCAGTCAGACGTGAAGCGTTTCGCACGATCTACAGGTTGAAGATTTTATGTTAAGGGACTTTACTGTGCATACAGAGTTTGTTCTGCGTAGTAAAACCATCCAAACGCAGGTCACTGTGGAGCGGTTTTCAGGTTTAAAGTTTATACGGACTGACATGTGAAAAAAGGCTAAAGTTGGCACGAAGGGCAAGGGGATACTTTCTACATTGCAATCAACTGCAGATGAAGTTTTGTGAACATGGCTTATTCCGAATCCCTCAAAGCTAAAATTTTGATGGAACTTTTGAATGAGAATACATCATAACATTTCTGAATTCCATACAGTTTACTTTAATCCAGGAATTGATATTTTCGTGGGATTGTCGAAAACCCGTGTAAATTAATCGCATTACTAATTCGTTAGTTATATCTGCAATTGTAGACCATTCCCGGCTAACCCATTCTCGTTGGTTGGCCTAATCGCCTTTTCTCCTGCAGCGAAACTTAAGGCAAACATAACCGCTGATTACGGCATTTTTCATATATTTACTTCCATTATTCCTGGTCTCGTTTATTCGTGGCTACAGTTACGGGCTTCCGTAACATCATTTTCAGCATATTGGATGTTTAGGCTGCGAGTTTCATGCTCAAAAAATATGTGCAGTTCTGTTGGGTGCTGAAACGTTGGTTTGCCTAGTAATTTAGGAAGCATGTCCTCACGGTGAAGTGTCGGCATTTTGGTCCTGTACTGGTTAATAGTCAACAAGCAACATTATATTTTCGTAGTCATCAATAGTCTTTCTTATATCTTCTCTGTATTTTTGATTCCCCCAGTCAAATATAAGAAAAGATGACAAACTCTGGCCCATCTAAATACAGCCACTTCTTCTGTGTTCTGTTCACTCACATTTTTATACCGGCGAATATATCGGATATGGACGCCAGTTTCCCGAACACCGAAAGGGTAAATGTAAAATGACACTTTCCTAGAAATTATGTGTTTTAACGGTTTATTTTATCTTCCGTGTGAGCGTCTTACAGTGATCTTCTGGGGGTAGGAATTCTGTGACTTCGGATCAGACATGAGAACGAACATTGATCTATCGGAACGGTACATGCTCTGCTATCAATCAAAAGCCGTTTCTGTTGGGTTAAATTAACCATCTATGAAGATCTATGTACGGCATTGTGACGATCGGAACTAATTATCGCCTCCTTGATACTTAAAAAACTTTTATAGTGAGGGACTGCGGCAAAGAGTAAGGACAGCTTTAGCTACGTAGTGATGAAACCTGTGCACGCGGCGCAACTGCCCAGCACCGCTATCAACGGAAGCTGCCATCTGGAGTCCTATTTCTGTACAGAAGTAGCTTACCGTCGAATAGTCCAAGAGTGCTCATTAAATCAATAAGTCATCGTCAAAATCTTATTACCTATTCGATTTAAAATAGGCAACCCTTTTCGGAACATACTGTTTTCTCCCACGTTTTCTTCTAAATTAATCTATAGTTCTATATTCTGAAAAAAGCCAACTTCAGAAATTGGGCACCGTTATTTTTGCAGACTGTCCATCTGTTGTTGAGGCTACCGGACGTCGCAACATGTAATATGCCCCCAACCAACAATACACACAAACCCGTCATATGATTCGTCATTACGGCAACAAACATATCAGCTTTTTAAACGCAGATTATAATTTTGAGCTTTGACAACGAAGTTGGGCGCTTTTGATGGTTTTACTACGATTGTTCTATTTAACAGATGCAATTACGAAGTAATCACGCATGCGATGTGAAGCGAAGCTTTCGCTAGCTCTCTTCAATGCTACACTTTTTACACAGCTACGTATTTTCTAAGAGCGGTATGCCAATTATACGCGGTTTTGAAAAAATATGCACCATAGTTTTCCATTACGTCATCAAACAGAAATGAAACTCTACTGGGTCAGTAGGGCTTGTTTCGCTTATCCTAGTGAGAGAGATGAATAAGGTTTTTACAGCGCAATATTGGGTTGTCGGTTGCATCAGTGTGTTGCAGATCGCTACTGTGGTGAAAGTTGTGGCTACTAACCGTTGTATGAGCTAAGTGGGCCAGATGTTCAGGACTGTGACTAAAGCAAACTACTTCGGTCCGCTGAACGGGCTATTCAAAGAGATTTTACCTGAATTCGCTAGGTAATATGAAACAAGGCTATGTATAAAAAGACTAAACCCTTTTAAAAGAAAAAACAACTGTAGCTTTTGGCTACTTATAGGGCTGTCTGTTAGTTATTTTACAGTCTATTTATCTCTTTGATTTGTATTGAACCTGTAGAATGTTCCATCGAACAACGTTAGATGTGATTCTAGTAAATTTTCAGGCAAAAGCATTTGAGTACATTGAAGCAGAATGCATTTATGGGATCTGTTAGTGTACCAGCAGTGTATTTAACATTAGTTGTTTAACGTGGGAGTCAAGCACTTAAAACGCAATGCGTTCTTTCTGAGGTGTTAATCGTTAGTAAGTGTGGCATATATATATTTTGATTAATTTGCTTCAGGATCTCACCGGAACAGAGTTATGCCGAAAAATCCGTTGCGCTAACGAAAAGGGCTTCATGAAGGGGACACATTGAGACTAGTGGTTAAGTAGTACGAGTAATTGCTAATTGGAACAACTAACCCGTTCACTAAGTCATTCTAATTGCCCAAAAAAATCGCTGAATAGTTCTAAGAATGAACATGAAACCCCATTTACTTTTACCGAAATAAATTGATGAACATCCATGAGAATGGCAAAATCCATCTTGGGAGAGAGGTACCCTGGTGAGAAGTTTATACGCATTAACTCCGACTAAGTAAAAAACTTTCCGCTATGTACCAGAAGATTGATTGGGCTGATGGAAAGTATACAGACGTTCCGTTTTATTTATTTTATTTTGGAGCGTGTTTCTTTCAGTAGCGGCATAAAATACAATGATAAGTTTTTTGAATCCAAATAAGAAGTGTATCGGTGTTGAAGCTATTTATGAAGTCTGTATAAATTAGGGAACAATTTCAATGGGTTGTAGCAACTTCACCGTGATCTTTACTCTTCAGGAAGGTATACCATTACTTGTGAAAATAAATCCGGACAAAACCCTCAAAATCAGCTTACAACATTCACAAGATGGACACAGCCACACGTTGCATTAGCCATCTCCCTCAAAGGCAGTTGTTCGACCAGCCAGCTTCCATTAACTCATGTTGTGCAAAATATGTGACTGAACCTGACTGAGTTAAATGCTAAGCAACTCCCTCCCGGGGCTAGCTGTTAGTAGAGCACGTCCTTCTGCATGGTAAAGGTCTGGACCCAGCTTCAGCTAGATCATCATCTATCAGTGCAAAAATGGCCTAAAGTTGCTTTTCAATTTTTAGAATAAGTCGAGGAAGCTTTCGGCAGAAGTGAGGATAGGAGTCTACCGCAACGTCTACCGGCCTAATAGCCATACTGACATTCACGGCATACAAACAAGCTCGGTTGACGACCACAATAGCCTCATTCATCACCGTCTTTCTGAATTTGCATTCACCTCAGCTGTGTCCTCGGAAAAGTATGTTACACACAAGTTCCTTCAGGAAACGGTTTCGTCTTGTTTGTGGTTCTTAAAAAACTATTTCCTTTGCAAATGACGATCACGCTGTCTTTTAGCCTATCATATAACGAATGGAGAAACATTTTACAAAATTTGTGAAACTTCCATGTGAAAACTCGTCACTCGAGAAGCAAGTCATCAGTTTAAGACGGACACCGTAACTACAAAGTGAGTGCTCAAGCATGTGGTAATCCAACCGCTGATCAGCCGCTCGTTGTAGAAACAAAAGGCATTCAACATACTCGCGCAGTTTTGAGGGATGATGATGATTCTATTTAAGGATGAAATTGCCTTTCTGGGCAGACGAGCCTCATTTACAGAGCTGGATCTCCATTAAATTATTCGATTTTGTACTACCGACCAAATACGCCACATTACCCAAAATGGAAAAACGGTTTTTCTGGCATCGGCTCACAGATGTCTATTGTCAGGATACGTATGACGGACTGACTGATGCATTTGAGTGGGTCAGGGTGACATCCAAACTGCTTGTTCCGCTTTCCACGATAAGCCCTTTGGAGAAGATGGAAATGCTCGTAGTTAAAAGATATCTGTTAGTGAGTTTAGTTTACCGTCTTGGATATTATGTTGCTTGTTCACGTAAGCGCACATTTCTAAGAACCACATTATTGCTTACCGAGGATCTTCTGCTTTTAACTGTTTTGATGTCTGCACATTCGTCAAAATATGGGATGATCTAGTGAAATATACGGAAGCAAGAGGCAAAAAAAACAAAATTTTCAAATTCTTGGTGCACGTTGACTGCTCGACTGAATATTTTTCAATTTTTTGCCAATTATCGAAATAGGAGCCACATTCTTACCCTCTACAACCTAACGAATATTTTAGTCTTTGATAGCTGTTTCTATTTTTCGATCCACTTAGAATATGAAGTTTGTTCATTCAGCTTACTTTTCGTTCATGCGTCTTATAAGTCTCAAAATATTCAGTGGGTAGAAAAGTTATTGACAAGAACGCTTATTTTACTAGATCGAAGGGAGAAAGACTGAACCGGTTCACTCAACGCACGATTTGCTTATCCTCCACAACTATTACCTTCAGTGAAATGGTTTTGCGGCTGGTAACTGCAGATTCGACTGTCAAAGCCAGCACGAGTACTGTGTGCAGCAACAAAAGACCTCATACTACATGGTAAGATGGCTTCAGACTTGTGCGGCGTTATCCGTTTACCTGAAGGAAAGAGCCACTATGATGGAGTAAAGGAATATCTTCAACGTAGCATCCCTGTAAACGTCTGTCTAAATCCAGCTACAGTGTGTCCAGTTTTCTGTTGTGTCCTATGTTTATAGCACCAGATTTCGAGTAGTCCTTATTACTGACCACTTTGCAGGGCCTTCAGAACCCTTGCTTTTTAACCAAGTGACAAGTATGCGTCATTATTTTGGATCTGCAGCGTGTTAGGACATAAAGGGCTTCCGAATGAGTAATATAAAATGACAATACTAAAGGCAATGTACTTACTGACTGAGTTACACTAACTGTCCAGAGTTGGCAGTACCAGAGAAGAGTGAAACCGAATTTTTTAATAATATCCCGCTTCATGTCTACTAGATCGAAGATTTGATGTGGATCAAAGGTTGTTATAAGATCTGAAAACTTGCGTGCAGTGTATATGTATCGACAGTCAACAGGTGCAACTGACCCTTGTCCGCACCACACTCACACGCGTGCATGCATACATACGCACACGCGTGTGAGACGCGGTCCTAACAACATATTCGAAAGCCAACATAGCCGCACGTGATTGTTCACTAATCACAACCGTGACACCCTTCTGCGCCGCATAGCAGTTCGTGGCGTAAACCGAGCAGTCGGACGGAGGACAACGAACGATTATAGGTTGTTTGTATCGGTCAGCGAGGTTCCGTCCAGTTTACCAGTGCCAATGCTGGAATGGTAAACACCAAGTGCTTCAATTTGAGTAACAGAATGATAGTGATCGGGCCTGATCGATTACTACAGCGCCCTCGACTGACTATATGAAACTCTGAAATAGGTTCCTGCAAAGCCGTTTCGTTCCTCTATCACATGTGTTGTGGTGACTACAGTTCCCCAGCTGGCTATTAATTCAAACACTGACTTGTTTATCCTGCTGTCTGCAAACGCAAATGTTTTTGTATAGTGGCTTTGTATTTATCATAGAGCATGGTGTGAAAACAACCAGCTACTATGATCTAGGTGTACGATGTTTATGTCATACCGCTTATTCAGCTTTCAAAATGCAAGGTGCGTAGACTATTTAGACTATGCAGACTATGCAACTATTTAGACGCTGTAGACCATGTCATCATTATCACAATATCAGTGGATAGCATCGACGCTAAACAGAAGCCTAACCATAATTTTCTTTACTAGTGTAAAAGGATGACAGATGTGGAGGGACTAGTGATTATGTCACTCCATTACAAACACACCATGCACAAAACATTTAATCATATCAAACAGACTGAAATGGACAGTAGATCCTCGATCGAGCAGATAAGTAGTCGACCTAATCTGCGGTACTAAATACACCAATCCCTTGAATTCGCTGCTGCATTATCCAATGATAACCGACGGAAAACTCATTTGGACGAAACCATACGCGCAAAAACGAAAAGTTTCCTTTGCTTGATTTTTGACGAACGAACTGTCCAAAACCCCGTATCTTTCATTCAACATCGAAATGTAGAGCAGCTGTGGGATTTCGCCTGTAAGTGAAGCCAATCTATGTTGAAAAGCCGAGAAACACTGTACAGCTGTTCCATCCTTATTGGGAATCATCAGCAGTGCGCATCTCACGAAACTCCGAAGAGTCTCGAACCCGCGCACTCCCGGCTAGTAGTTTGAACATTTAACCGTTCGGCCACGAGTGGCTGATCAGCAGTGTGATTAACTCGCATTTAGACAGGATATAGCGCCGCTCATCCTTCAGTCACGGGATCCACATCACGCGGTTACATGTGTTGACTGGCTCCTCGAGCAATGACTTCTCAGATAGAAGTTTCACTCAT